AATTGATCGGAGCACACTAAATAAGTTCATTTAGGAAAAAGTCCGTTTGCTCATTTAAAAATCTTTTCAATTTTCGACTTCAAACACAGAAAATAGGATTACAGAGTAGCATCGATATTGCCGTCAATAACCAAAATGCGGTTGATGCTACAAAGATTTAATAGATCGCTCAATTGTGAATGACTAGTATTGTGTTTCCAAGTTTCAAAAAGGGATATTTAAATTTCTGCTAAAGTTTGATAATCGGCTTCAGCTGACACAAACTATAGACATTGTGGCAAAACTTGGTACGGAAAATTTGAACATCACTTTTTGAAAATGGGGAATCTAAAAAAAAGAGTAAATTTTAATAATCATCTAAGAATAAAAATGCGGCTTTTGATTAATTTATGTAAAAAAATTATATTTGTAAATGAAAAATTTAAAAAAATGTCGTTGACAAAAAGATTAGTTTATATTTATGGGGATATTTTAATCGCCATTAAACAAAATGTTTTTCATATCTGCAAAACAAAAAAATGGTATTACCAGTTAAATGATCGCAATACTCTATGGCATTTGATTGCAATCACATACATTACATAGCGATTACTATTTGAACCTCCCAAAAGAAAAACTCTATGAATTAGATAGGATACAATCTAATAGATAGATTGAATCTATCACCAAACCGATTCAGCTACGTTTAATATACTATTTTTTTGAACAACAAAAATACACTTCTATGCCATCATGGAATAATCATATTGATTGGAATTCGAATCAATTATGGATACGCAGCGCAACTTCGTCTGATATTAACCCATTCAAAGCCGCAGCCTATTTTTCGAATTTCTTAATGAAAATTCACAGATAGGCCAATTTTGGCCTCCTGAGCACGAGTCTAAGTTCAGATTTCAATTTGGTCCACCAGAGGCCGCAGGCTGACGCGGTCCCATATGGAACCACCGCCTGAATACACTACGAAACGCAAATTTTTTTTTTTTGAATTTTACCTGTATTTTGTATGGAAAATGTATAGAAATTGAAGACAAAACGATTTTATTTATGATTTATCTATTGGAAAATCATTGATATTAGGGAAAACATATGGAAAGTGAATGGAAAATTATTGAAAATTGAAAAAAAAATGTGCCCCCTTAAGGAATCAGCTGTTGATCAACTTTTTTTCACATTATTTCCTATTTGGTATCGTAAACACTCCAATTCGTAACATAAACTATCAATTTTCCGATTTGCATGTCCATTTCTACAAAATTACTTCATAAATTCCCAACATGTTTATATCTATTCGAAAGAGAATTTATTTGGCTTTTATTTGATGTATCGGTTGATTAACGAAAAATTCATTCAATAGTTTAATTTTTATTTTAATCGCAAAAATACACGAAATCTCATATTAGGGAACTGAACTATCCATATTGTAAACTCCAAATTGAAACATATATTCACAAACTTATGACGAAACTTTATGAAATGTCAAAATTTGAACGCGCGAAAACCGTTTGGGTTCCACGCAATTGTTTCCAAATTTGATGTGATTTCGATTTATTCTATTAATTTTGGATTGTTTTTCTTTTATGTTTTTCAATATTTATTGTTTTAAAACATTTTCGCAAACAAGAATATTTACACTACCATACATTTCAACACACTTAGTGATCGGCACATTGCAAACTGTCACATCTGTCAACACCAAATCAACCATAGAACTTTCATTCAAAGTTCAGTTTGACAGCAGCTTTGCATGTTATAACTCGGAAAGAATGAGTTACAATTGATACATCATGAAATTTATCTAAAATATTAATATTTGTCGAAATATATTGCAAAAAGAGTGTTTCATTAAAGAATGAGGCGTAAATTCTTGCAGATTTTTACACCATTGTGCTTTCAAGCAGTAGTAGAGAAGGCACTGACTCAAATACACTGTACTTCAGTACTATTAATTGATAAATAATCATGGCGGCTCCATATTATTGCAAAAAGCACAAATGGTATAAAGCCTTCACACGTTCTTTTCAAAAACATTTCACAGTAGAAATTTATGGAAACATCAAATATTTTGTACTGTATTTAGTGGAAAAAACAATGAATTGGGAAGCGTGACATTGCAACATAGTTCAACTTTTCCTCTCAAAACCAGTGAAAAACTAGATGCTGTTTTCAAAATGGATAAATGAATGTAAACTAAAACATTTTCAGTGTTTAATTATTCTACATAGATAGATTTTTTCGTGCTTTTTCCGAATATGTATATAATGTGTCGCATTTAAAATTCGTATCTATGTTAAAATCGTGTTTTTTTTGCAAATATTTTACAATTTGGACTATGTTACAATTCGGAGTGTTTACGATACATAGTATTTCGGTTTGATTTTATTGCGTTAGTGAATATCTAACAAAATCAACTTAAAATCTATGGATAAATTGAAAAAAAAATTGTGTTATTATGGACAACTTCAGACCGCGATGGTGTCGAAGCAAATGTGCTATGGGTAGCACATTTCTGTATTGATATGAAAGCGTGAGGCAGCACCAATTTTTTTGAAATCTTCAATACTAACATATGTTTTCACACTGTCATTTTTTCACTGTTATTTTATCATAATAATAATAAAATATATCAAACTCACTTTAATATCGTAAACCATCCAAATTGTAACATAGTCTAAATTGTAACAATTACACAAATATTCTAATTTTCTGCGAAACTTTGAAGGTTAACTGTTGTTTTTTATATCATATTTGAGAAGAACACGAAAAAATCTTCCGATATGAATATATGACTAAATTGTATTTTTTTTTAGAAAAGTGGTTTATTTTGAGACTTTGTTACAATTAGAACTATGTTACTATTTGGATGGTTTACGATACATATATTAGAAATTCATCACTTTATTCCAAAAACTCAAACATGTTTCATATCAACGAACATCAATGAAATGTCAAAATACTACGAACAATCTTGTCAAAAGTACTTAAGTAAGTGATGGGCGCGTAAATGTGGCGACGTCACTAGTAAAAAATTGCTTCACTGCGAAGGTAAGGGTGCCACCCATGGTGCATTCATATTGTAGTTTTCAACGGAGCGCGGTCGATCGAGCGTCACACGTTGACGAACCTCCCGATTGAATCGTGTAGCCTTTCCCACAGGATCTTTTCCATACAATGTTGTGGCAACAGTAACACACTTGTTGTCGCGCCATTTGGTGAAAGAAATGTAAGGCCCCTTCATCACAATCGATTCGATCGATCCTCGTGGCATCTTGTTCATTTCAGCGTTGCTTGGCAATGGACAATTTTGCGGGATTCGTGCTTCGCGGATGACGCCTGTAGCATGATGACCAAGCTCGATTTCGACCATTTGATGCAATTGATTATGGTGTAAATCGAGGAAAACCTATACAAATTGAGGAAAAAGGTTGAAAATACAAAACAATTTTTGAGTGTTTTGTAGTGTGTTCAGGCGATGGTTCCATATGGAACCGCCAAATTTGAGACGAAAATATTAAGCACAAGCATATCTCGAAACAACACGAAATATATAACAAAATGTAGAAAATCTCGCCAGCTTTCAGAAAATATACACTTTTTCGAGAAAAAAAAGAGGTATGAGGTAGATATGGGTACTTACAACTTGCGACTGCTTATTTTGGGTACTTTTTTCTCAAATTTTTTTTTTCGTCAACTTTAGCGTCCGATACCGAGAACACACGCGACTCAACTGAGCTCGCTACGGTACCGAAATTTGGCGGCATCATTTCTCTGTCAAATTCTTGTCATTTGACTTGAATAGAATGACGTTGAACCGAGTTAGACTTATACGGCGTGACATATTCTGAATGGTTCCATATGGAACCGTGCCTTTGAATGGGTTAACATGTCAACGAATGTAGTGCATTGCGCAGCTTATCTCCATCTAGTAAGAAAATTTGGGTCCAACAGTTTGAGTTATACACCAATTATAAAACGAATTTCCAGACCTGCAAAAAATATATGCAGTTGGGGATTATTCGATGCGTGGTGTTAGTGATATTGAATGCCATAGAATTCAGCGGTCTTTTTATTGAAGAATCATTTTTGTATGTATCATTACCATTGTTTTTTTCTTGACTTTTGAAGATAGCGTGTCATAAATTGGATGCACATACATAAGCTATTGTTGAAGTGGCAATTTGGGGCACTTAAGAAAAAGGCTTCCCATAACAACATTGGTATCAAAAGCATGGTTTGACCTTTTGTTTTAAATGGAATGAAAGAAGAAAATCAAGAATATTGTTTGATAGTCCATAACCGATCTAATGGATGAATGTAAATAAAATACTTGTATAATCATAATATTCATACAAATTTTGGATTCAAACACGTGTTTAATTATACAACTCAGCAAAAAATCCTGGTAAGTAAAGTATGATCTATTGAAGAAGAAAAAGAAACACAAACTTTGGAGAGAATACATCCTAATCCAAATACATTTTCATTTTATTCACGTTTGTTTTACATGAATTTTTTTACATTCGGAATTTTCCCTACTTATATCAACTGAAATATTCCTATTTTCATTTTTCTTTTTACTCGATTGGCGCATTATTAACTTATAAATATCACGACGACAAATAAAAAAAGAAAGGAAAAGAAAAGAAAAGTGCTGTTTCCTCTGGTTTATATCATATTGGCAAATGATTGAAATTTGTTTGGTTACATGGTATAATAGACTATTCAGACATTTAATACATTTCCCGTGTGCAAACATATTTTGACTAAGCAGTCAGTCGATGGTTTTGGGACTTTTTTGACTGGCTATAAATGATTATCTACTACAAAATCAATGAACAGTTAGTTGACTGAAATCATAGTAAAAAAATGTCTCAATTACAGTAAGTCAATTGATTGCACACGGATCAGTTTCCCTCTATCCTAAAACTCAGCTACACTTGATAAATGTCATAGGTTAGACATGAAAAAAAAAACGTTGATGCTAGTGAAAAGATATTTGATTATATTAAAGATAAGATGATTATATGTTCGGTTTTATTTTAAGGCTTATTTAATTTTTTATACAGTTTGAGAAATGTCTAATATAAATAATGTAATTTGTTTTTATTTGTGTATGTGGAGTTTGTATTTTTTGTGCATTTTTAAATTTCCTTGGTAATTCGAACAATATTTTCGATGCCGGAGTCTTCGTCAGTGCTATCACTCTGTCTATTAGCCGTTATTCTATAATCACATTTTTTGCTTGTGTTGGTGTTGATAGTAAGTTCATTTTGAACAGACGTTTCGTTTGAAGCGTTTCTCACTTTCGTTGTGTGAATCGGTAGACCGTCAGTATTTGTACTATTACTGAGATGAATTTGTGAACTTTTACCACCGTCAAAACTGTTTATCGAATCCATGGAACCAGTACATGACGTAGGCACAATTAAATCCATTGAATCTTGAATTGAATCGGAAGCAAGCACATTCTCACTGCTATATTCATTCTGCGAACTACTTTTGCTGGATTCATTTTGATCATCGGCAGGGGTTGTTGATTGTACCATTTCTTTTTCTTTCGCAAGAGAATTGGATGTGTACACATTTAAGGGGAGCCGCAATGATGCTTTGGTATGGCACAATTCCCCAAGCAAAAGGGACTCCGAAAGATCGGCCTAATACAATACAATAGGCATTAGAAATTGTTAGTGAGTAAATGTCGCACCATAGAATATTGGTCCACTTTCGACTTACCGATTCCCCTACACCACTATCAGGCCGATGAACTGAGCTTGGGCTTTTCAAATCTCTTGTTTCATCAGTATTGGTGGATTCGCTTTGTTCATCTGCATTTGTCGACCATACCCTTGAATCTGCTAGGTAATTGACCTCATCATTTCCATTTCCATTTCCTTTATCATTCTGTTGAATACAATGTTTAAGATTAAAGATTTTATATCTAAAAATAATGAAGTGAAATAAAGTAAACGAAAACTCACTTGCAACTGCGACCATGAAAATTCGGAATCTGTTGGCCATGTGTGACATTCGGCGTTGAATTGACTAAGATGAAATGGTCGGAATGAACTGGATACAGCAAAGCCGTCCAGGGCATTGAACACTTCAATCTGACTTCCGTTTGAATCATCGTCAGGATATGCACCATTCATGGTGGAGCTGAATGGACTGGAATTAGCTAAATATGTGGCCCATCCTTGAGGTTCACTCAGTGCTGTTGATAATGCATTCTCCTTTGGATATTCGTAGACCGATTGATAGCTTTGCTTTTTGAATACAACACTGCGACGACTCTTCGCACCAGTCTTCTGTGGTAATGGAAAGATTTATCAGAATTAATTTATTCTAATAGTTCGACTACATGAGGATTTTGCTTCAAATCAATAAATTGATACATTTGAATGCACTCATTCATACCATTTAAATGACATAATAAATACAAATGGTTTGTGTATACAACATGGGAAATGCTTCGTTTTCTTCGAGTATCAAAATTTCGTTACGCTTTCTAATGCAAATATTCTGAGTTGAACTTCGAAAGGTAAGCACATAATGATTTGTATTTATTCTGAAGCATTCATTTATTACATTTTAAAATAAGTTTACATTAAATTTTCCAACAATAATTTGCACTGATTTCAACATTTTGCTAGATAAACGGCGATTAACGCAGATGTTGCAAATAAAAGAATAAGGATAAGCATGATTTGAAGACTACACATAAAATTGAAATTACACACACAATGAGATATAAATCAATTCCAGCACCCGAATTATATTTTGTGCCATGGAGATTTTGCAAAGGACAAAATATATGTATTTTATTACGTTTACTGTCATTTTGATGTGTGCACTGTGCAGTTGAATTGTACAGCGAAGAAAACTAAGTGTAAGCGGTGACGATCCGAAAAATTTGCAGATATATTCAAATCGGGATCTTTACAAAAATCATAATATTGACACACGAATTTGCACATTTAATTGGAGCAATGCTTTGAAAAATACTTACAGCTGATATTTCCTCTTCCTGATCAAATGCAAGCAAAGTGCATTTATTAGTTGAAATTTTAGTCATTTGATCAAATTTTCAAATAAAAATGTCAGTGATTTAAGTCTTTCAATGAGTCTGAATGGATTTTCAATCGACAACAAATTTTCAATCAATTTCACGTATGCAGTTTTTTTACTCTCACGAATTTCAACGATTTTAAATCGAAATTATTTACGTTTCGCCTCAAACTCACTGATAATCGTTTCGACGTTTTTTTCATGTTGTTCAATGAAATGCAACATCCCATGTTAGATTTCAAAGTATTATCAGTGCCGTCTTAATTTCCAAATGAAGAATCAAAGATTTGGGAAATTTATTTTTGAACGGGGCCTAACAATTATCTGAAGGTTAAATTAAAGATTCGAAGGGAAATAATTATTTCTACATTGGGATAAACAATCTTATCGTCCCCGATAAAGTTTGCCGCAGAAGCTAAAAGACGGCACTGCAAACTTGACATCTACTTGGAAAAATTAAAAATATCTGCTTCACTTACGCTACTTGATTTATCTGGACTTTTTAATGCAGAGCGTACTGGTTTCGCACATGAATCCCATGATGATGGTACCCATTCATTTTCATTCTCCGAAATACTAATGTCATCCAATATGTCATCAACTGAATCAGTATCAGCTTTAAAAGAAAAGAAAATGAGATGAATTATCACAGTGCAAGAATTAAAAAAAAGTCAGACAACCGGGACTTGGCATATCAGAAGTGTTAGTACTACCATAGGTGAGCAAAACCCTAGCTGGGTTTTGAAAGTTTAGTAGCGGTTTTTATTTTATCGACCTGAGAAGTTTTTGGGATGCAGAGGATTTTCCAGAGTTGACTTCTTCAGATTTTGGTCAATAACTCATCTAGTATTGGTGACAACATCTTACTGTCTTGAGCAAAGTTTTAGTTAAAGGTCCAATGAACAAGTTTTGTGAACAAAGTAACTATACCAAAAGAATCACATTTGTTGGAAGCTAGGGGACCAAATGTCCGAAAAAGGTAGATTTTTTCAGTTTTTCGACCATACCTCGCGCAGTATACATTCTTTTCACTTATTTTCTTTGACAAAATTATAGCCAAAGGAAAACAAACAACTCTCTAGAACATATTAACTCGAAAACAATACATCCAGTCCACTTTACTGGCTAAAAATCCATTTTGGCTACCAAACAACACTTTTGGACATTTTTTGAAGTCCTATAACTCCTCAACTGATCAAAATAGAGCAATGGTGTCTGAAGCAACTTTTTAGTACGCTTAAGATCTTCGCATGTTTAGTACTAAAAGTACTAAAATCGTACTAAATTGTACTAAATTGCTTAAAACCATTTTGATGGCCATCGGCAACTCTAAATGATATAAGACTGTGCTAAATATGTTGGACGCACTGTTATGGACAATGGTGAGCCCAAGACACCGATACTCAGCTAGAAAATTGATATTTGAATCGAAGAGATTATAGTCTAAAAGTTCATAGGTTATGCTGGAGTATTTAATTCAAATATTAACTTTCCGGCTAAATATCGGTGTCTTGGGTTCACCATGGTCCATAACAGTGCGTCCAACATGATTTAGCACAGTCTTATATCATTTAGAGTTGCCGATGGCCATCAAAATGATTTTAAGCAATTTAGTACATTTTTAGTACTGTTTTAGTACTTTTAGAACTTAACATGCAAAGATCTTAAGCAGTACTAAAAAGCTGCTCCAGACACCATTGCTCTATTTCGATCAGTTGAGGAGTTATAGGACTTCAAAAAATGTCAAAATTGATTTTTAGCCAGTAATGTGGACTGGATATAATTTTTTCAAGTTAATATGTTCTAGAGAGTTGTTTGCTTTTCCTTTGGCTATAATTTTGTCAAATAATAAAGTAAAAGATAAGTGAAAAGAATGTATACTGCGCGAGGTATGGTCGAAAAACTGAAAAAATCTACCTTTTTCGGACATTTGGTCCCCTAGCACCCACCAAATGTGATTGTTTTGGTATACTTTGTTCACAAAACTTGTTCATTGGACCTTTAACTAAAACTTTGCTCAAGACAGTAAGATGTTGTCACCAATACTAGATGAGTTATTGACCAAAATCTGAAGAAGTCAACTCTGGAAAATCCTCTGCATCCCAAAAACTTCTCAGGTCGATAAAATAAAAACCGCTACTAAACTTTCAAAACCCAGCTAGGGTTTTGTTCACCTATGGTAGTACTAACACTTCTGATATGCCAAGTCCCGGTTGTCTGACATGTGTTGCACTGTGTTATTTTTGATAGAATTTGTATGTAGAAAGAAAGCTCGGAACTGATGATGTACAGTGACAGAAAGAACCGTGTCCCATTTGGGCCATTTTGTACAGAGTTCTAATGCATATCATCTTAAAGGGCATTGTGTGTAGATAAATTATATATAGATACCCAACCCCTAAATTGTGAGGAAAGGGGTTAAAATTGGGAATATGTTGGCAACACCAAAATAAAGGTATCACTTCCCAGGGCCATAGCTCCCTAACTATGGGAGGTAGGGCAATACTCCTTGGGTCAGAGTTATAGTACTCATGAATACCTATCCAAAGGTATACATAATATTTCCATTTGTTCATAGTAAATGAAAAATACCGTTATATGAAGAAATGTTATTTTTTGGGTAAAAAAATCATATTATACCCATTTTCTGGGGCTGGGGCAGGGGCTATCACTTGGGTATGTTCAACAAAGTTGTACAGCGTTCCAAGGAGAACAATATTGCTCCAAACTATTTTGCCCCATCTCCTTCAATAATGGGTCTACTGCCCTTTACTCTCATAAAATTTTAGCCTGGTACAAAGGGTGGTGTTCCTTTTTGTGTCGTACGATGTTTATCAATAAGACTTATACCGTGGAACAGTGGGGCGTAGTGAGTATGTCGATAATATCAAGGTTGACCTGCCCTACAGGGTGTAAACGGGATGTTATAGGGGTGAGTAATTTTTTCAATACCGACACATTGTTGGTCAAGAAATAAACCATTTAGTGGATAACTATGTATGGAAGAAGTGTTCAGGACGTTGCATAATATCTTGGGTGAGGTCGCCCTCCACAGTTTGGCCCGAAAGAGGGCCAAAAAATGCACAAAATCACCAAAACAAACATATGAGGCATGTTTGACCCTTTTTTGGCCAAAGGGATGGAGGGCGACCTCACTCAAGATATTATGCAACGTCCTGAACACTTCGTCCATACATAGTTATCCACTAAATGGTTTATTTCTTGACCAACAATGTGTCGGTATTGAAAAAATTACTCACCCCTATAACATCCCGTTTACACCCTGTAGGGCAGATCAACCTTGATATTATCGACATACTCCCCACTGTTCCACGGTATAAGTCTTATTGATAAACATCGTACGACACAAAAAGGAACACCGCCCTTTGTACCAGGCTAAAATTTTATGAGAGTAAAGGGACGTAGACCCGTTATCGAAGGAGATGGGGCAAAATAGTTTGGAGCAATATTGTTCTCCTTGGAACGCTGTACAACTTTGTTGAACATACCCAAGTGATAGCCCCTGCCCCAGCCCCAGAAAATGGGTATAATATGATTTTTTTACCCAAAAAATAACATTTTTTCATATAACGGTATTTTTCATTTACTTTGAACAAATGGAAATAATATGTATACCTTTGGATAGGTATTTATGAGTACTATAACTCTGACCCAAGGAGTATTGCCCTACCTCCCATAGTTAGGGAGCTATGGCCCTGGGAAGTGATACCTTTATTTTGGTGTTGCCAACATATTCCCAATTTTAACCCCTTTCCTCACAATTTAGGGGTTGGGTATCTATATATAATTTATCTACACACAATGCCCTTTAAGATGATATGCATTAGAACTCTGTACAAAATGGCCCAAGCTCCATACAAAACGGGACACGGTTCTTTTGATAATTGTTCATACCTTTCGTAGACACACCGATCAAATCTTCGTGACTATTCCAAATATCTTGTGTGTTCAACTTCTCATCTACGGACTCTTGACTGCACTCCATTAACGCGATTGATTCATTGGCAACCATATTGATTTGGTTATTTGAATCTAGCGGGAATATTGTTTTCTGAGTTGCTCTTAAGTATTCGCTTATTTGTGAAGTTCCTTTTGCATACACAAATTCTTCGCTACTATTGCTATCCTCGGCATCACTGTCCCAGTCATTTGTTGCGAACGTGCCACTTATTTGTTGCATTACATCATCATTGCACGGTCCGGAAAATCGTAAATCCTGCAATTTGCGAGTTATTTATAACGAGTCATCTTCAAGCATTTCCTTTCATACATACCTTAGAATCTGTTTGAAATCTCTGGTGACATTCGTTTTCAACTGTGCGATTCATAGCCTGCAATTCGTGAGATATATTGAGAAATACATTTAATTTTGCCCAAAAACAATGAAATAATCTATTACCCATGGATCTTCTTCACCAGATAACTGTCCAGGTGGTTTGTTCAAGAGATCCAACTCACTCTGTTCTGGATTTTTAAATTCTAAATAAATTTTAGAGATATCTAGATTTGGGTTTTTGTTCTCTGCTGCATTTTGGGCTGTAAATAAATCTGGAAACACATCACCCGTTTCATGCTCGCTAGTTTTATAATTTAAATGCGGTTCGGCAATAGTTTGACATGTAATTTTCGGTGGTTTCCGAAGAAAATCACTTTGGTGCTGTTGACATGTGACATGTTCAACATTTTCAAAGGATTCATTAGCTGTTAGGCTGTTCGTTTGATGAGAATCGATTTCAGAATTTTCCAATTTGCTATTGTTTGCATCATCATTCAAATGAACCGAAATACACGTTTTTAAATCATCTAACGTATTCGTGGCATCGATTGTAGCTGACAAATCCGATGATAATAGTTCAATAGTATTGATCTCTTCGGAAATGGTTTTTTGTTGCTCTGGTGATATTAAATCATTGAGATTATTTGTGAGATTCTCGAGATTGAGTTGTAGTGTGTTTGGTCGAATATCATTTGTCAACTTAATTTCGCTGTAAACATTGCTATCATTTGGTTTGTATTCGCTTGGATATGCATGGAGATATCCTTCGTTTGTGGGAGTTTGGCAGTTTTCCGGTCGTGGTGTGGTTGAAATAGCAATATAACTTCCTGAATTGGCCACATTTCGAGGTGAAAGCATGTCTTCACGGTCACCAAGAGTATCTTCAAAGTTGAATAGAGTGTCATTTGAGGCCATCAGAACTTTTGTAACTCCCATAATTGCTTCGCTCGTTTCAATGTAACCAGTACTATATGCATTTATATTATATTATTACATGTATGTATGTATATCTATCTATTTCGACTTACTCACAGAATATAAGCGCATTGTTAAGCTCATACAATATTTATTGAGTCATTTTCACTGTGAAATTAGTTGGCATACATTTGCTACACACTATGTGAAGCTCAACTTTGCGCTTACAATTTGTGTGAATTTTGTAATGAAGTAAAGTATGTTTTACTCCTTTGTTTGAAATTGACCTCACCTGGTGCTATCCAAACACTTAGTTTCGTTCATCACGAAAGTCTTGCACGTTTCGTCTTCACTTTCTTCCAAGATTGGCGATAGTTGTTGTTTATAATTGATAAACACCTCACACTTCGGGTTCTCAAATCTATAATCGAATGTAATATGATATGATAGTGAACGCAACAAAGTTTTGTTAATATCTGTCATTCATGTGCTATTTTTTTGCTTACCTCTTGTGGTATTCCAGATTTTCATAGTCTAAATCAGAGTCGCTTTCATTTTCATCATCAGAATAGTCAACACTTGGTCGTACTAAAAATGGTGCAAATCATTCAATATTGTACTATGTTTAAGAGAGTTGGGACAAATACCTGAAGCTTGTGGAAGTACATCAGCCAACTGTTTTCGAAGAGCGTCAAAAGTTAGGCTCAATAATTCGGCATTTTCTTCCACTGACTCGCTGTCCTCATCGGTACCATCACGATTTGAGTATTCGGTATCGTTTATGTTGAAAGTGTCATTTGACTGCGGTAGGTGTAGAAACCAGGGATTTTTCGGATCGTCTATCGTCGACGTGGCATTTTCTATGGTTGCTTGTTTCTCATCAGTGTTTTCTTCTAAGTCAATACATTTTTTGTTCATGCTTTTTGAGACAAACTGATCCCATGTTGTGCCTACATAGTTTAGCTCAATCGGTGTATTCATTGGTGTTATAGTAGTCAAATCATCCGAGTTGACTTCGTCCTTGTCGATTTTAATTGTTGGACTTATTGTTGGTACATCATTCTGTGGTTTGACGGTACTGATTTCAACATTAAACGTCTCTTGTAAATATTCTGGACTGCCCGCCGAAATAAATGTGTGGTCATCATTTTTAACGAAAGTTGAAGCCAATTGTTTTTCAATCGGTTGTGTTTCAAATGTGGCACTCGCAATATGTGTTTGAGATTCGAATAGGGGCTCGATACCGCTTTGGCTTAAATTACTTTCATTGACTTCATCTAGCGCTTGAAAAAGATTGATTCCCAATCGATTTTTCTCACGCTGGCAATTGATATTGATTTTATGGCACGGTGTACTTGCTTGCAATTTACCGATAACAAACATATCCTCCATGGAATCATCTAAATTGTTCATTCTAACTTCTCCATTCAATGGTGCATGAGATTCATTTTTTGGCACATTGTCATCTGAATGTGTCATCGATAAAAAAAATCCAGTGCACTCTTCTAGCACACTATCAACTAATTCCTTTGCAAATTCATAAACATATTTTCGACTATGTTCAATGTTTGAATTATTACAATGGATTTCTATACCCATTTTAACCTCATTTTCACTAAATATATCTTTGGCGTCGACAGTTTCAATCAGTTCTATACTATTTTTCGATTCGAGTTGTTCCATTTGTTTGGGCAAGTGCGTTTCTCCACATTCGTTGTTGCTTTCATCTGATGATGAATCATATTCAGAGTCAGAGAAAATGGATTCACCTCCAGAAATGGCAAAGTCGAGAGCACGTAATGCTTCTTCTACACTTATCGCATCATCGTCGACTAAATCCAGTTCCAAGTCATTACATTTTGGCTGACTAATTTGGTCATCAGCTTGTATTTCAGTTTCAGCTGGGTGACAAATAGCTTCAGCCACAACTATGCTAACAATATCATTATGATGGCTCAATTCATTTTCTTCTGGACATTTTTGATCATTGGATTCTGTGAGGTCAATATAATTGTTTAAGGATTCACTAGCAGCCGTTGGTTCAACGAGGTGATATCCGTTTAATTCGTTCATTTGGTAATATGGCTCAAAACTGCTAACGTTAGCGATACGTTCATATTCAGTCATAAGCATTGGAACGGATAGATCGATGTTTGTGGATACTGCTGTAGCATTCATACTTATACTACCACGGTTCACTTCGACTAAGTTACGATTGTTTTCATGTAGCGAAGGATCAATTACAATATTGATTTCATTTCGATTTGGTATATAATCCGCTGCATTATTATTCTGGATATTTTCCATGTCCACAGCGGAAATGGGTCCATTATTGTTCTGACTATTTTCGAACTCATTGAATGTACGGTTCATCTTTGAATGGAAAATAAAATGAATTAGGTATGATTAAGTGAGAAGTGGAACGTAGTCATGAAAGGAACATTACGAAATTAAACTCATTTAATATTTGATTAATATTGTTGAAAAAGGAAAATGTCCAAAAAAATAGGATGTCTCACTCACTCCCCTATATATTGCTATATGAGTAGTTTGGAGCGAAAATGCTATACAGAAAAGTTGAGAGGAAAAATGTCAAATGAAAAGAGGTAGCTATATAGTTCACTATAGTTTACTATACAGTTTACTACTCAACTTTTCTGTATAACATTTTCGCTTCAAACTACTCATATAGCAACTCTATCAAAAATAAAGCTCAACGCAACTTACGTGATTCTGATTGACAATATTTGATAAAATTCGATTGTCCAAATTGTTATCTCCACCGCTTGCACTAAATGCATTCCCAGGATTTGACGGTGAAATTGCTCGAAAAATTGGGAATTCAGAGGTCGAATTCGTTTGGTCGGCGATAGTATTTTCATTTTCAAATTCCTGTGAAAATAAATTCAAATTGGTTTTTGAAAAGGGTATTTCAATTGTATGCAACTCTAAAACATCAAAATAAAGTACACAACAGCGATAGATCCACTAAAATTACACAACAGCGATAGATCCACTAAAATTCCGCAGTTAATTATGTCTAATATAATCAAAAAGTGCGAACAAAAAATACTTTCGATCTGTAACACTATTTACTTGACATTTGTGTGTTCGTTCGCTCTGTATCGAGCTTCTGGATGAAAAAGTTTATGAGTTGATGGCAGATAAAAATATGATGTGAATGGCCATTGCGCCAACACCAAAAGATACATATTATGGCACACTACATGCAAATAGAAGCTTTATATACTCAAAATAGGGAATCCTAAATTTATAATCATTAATAATTTTAGATTTTCTTTAGCAAAACATCTAAAGGATTAACATTTTTATTATGCATTGCGAAAAAGAATTCATGGAAAAGTTCAATAAAGAAATCTATCAGTTCATTGTTTCACATTAATTATTTTCTATTGAAGTGAAACTCTGGAAGTTCATGAGAAATTTTTTCCAAAATTAGGTGGAAAAAAAGCTTTGAAACAATCGACTGCAACCCGGTGTACGTATGGCCCAAAATTTTGGCGATACCAATAACAATCGGCGGGTAAGCGCAATACATGAAACCGCGACGTTACCACACGTTGGAACATTCTCTTTAGAAATATGATCGTTTGAATTGAAGATATCGATTCAATGCAAAATGCACAATGAACTCATTACCGTTCTTATTTCATAACAACAGATGGAGAAAAGGCGTAAAACTTTATTTAAAAAAAATAAGAAGAACTTTTGGGGGCCTAGCCCCAAAAGCCATAAATTTATTGTATGTTCAGAGTGTTTAAATGTAATCCTTCGAGATTTTTTCGCTGACAAATTTCAAATTATTAAAATAAAATTCCCTCCTTTTTACAGTGTATGCAAACTGAGAAAAGTGAAATATTTTAAATGAATTGATTTTCACCTTCTTGTCCTTAATAATTTGGCTAAGCTAAAATTCATCAACGCCAACAGAGAAAAAAATACAAAAAATATGGATTAGATTTCCGATTCTTATAGTGTGTACGCGATCAGAATTCGTCTAAATCTTGATGATTTTATTGAAGGTTGAACGGGACATGGTATTTGTTTCTTACCTCAAATCCACTTTTATTTCGATGACAACAAGTGCATGCCAATATAGTAACACTAATGCACGTTAGCGCCAAGAGGCCAATCACCAATTCGCTGGCATTATCTAAAAAAATGAGATGAAAAAAATACATTGAAAACTATTTTTTATTGAAAATTCTATTAGTTCTAACTTAGTTGAACTTAAGTTCACCATGAACTTCACGACCATCACAATTCATGCTATTTTTTAGCACTACATGAAATCTAGAGCTACTAACCTTTCTTGTAGTATATTTTTTGAGTGTCGAATAGATTTAAAGTGACCGTTCTGTTTTATGCTCATATTATTTGTTTTTCAAAAATGGAATCAAAATCAATATCTTGTAATTCACTTTCTTTCACTTCGCTCCGCTCTGTCTTCTTGTTTTTAAATGCAACTTACTCTACTGTATTATATATGTTTTGTATTATGTTTATTAGCGTTAGCTCTTTTAGTTACATTTGTGTTTATACATTGAAATTTTCCATAATATGCTTTTTACATTCCGTTTTAAATGAGTTTAGTGACGGTTTTTCTCTTATATTTATTGGGAGCTCATTATACATTTTGACTCCATAATAGAATATATTCTTCCTGGTTTTTTCATATTTAAAATTTGGCAGTCATAGTTCATTATTTGTTCTCTGTCTTGTGTTTCTCATGTGAGCATCTCTTGTATAAATTAGGTTGTCATTTAAATATTCTGGGAGAAGCCCATTTCTCATTTTGTATAAATTAAAACATTGAATTTTATCATCTGGTCAATGCTTAGCCAATTTAAGGTTTTTAACATCCATTCTCAGTGTGTACGATATTCTTAATTTAAAATTAATCGCATTGCTCTATTCTGAATTTTCTGCATTTTTTCTATCTCGTCTTGGTTACATGTAAAATATATGGTTGAACAATATTGCAAATTGGGTAAAATAATTGAGTTATAAATAAATTTTTTTGTTGGGAAAGTAGATTTTTTTGATATTCTATACAGTAGATTAAATCTACTAGATTTATTTTGGTTGCTGCTTTTTTTGTACATATTGCAGTCTGTTCTCTAAAGGATAATGTTTCATCTATGATAACACCTAAATATTTAATGCTATTGACTCTATTTATTTTTTCATTTCCAATTTTGACCTCTAGTGAATTGTCTACTACTACACCATTTCTTCTTATTATCATCCAATTTGTCTTTTTTATATTTAGCATTAGTTTGTTCAAGTTCAGCCATGTGAAAATTCGTTCGAGATTTTCATTTATTTTATTTATTGCAATTTCAACGATTTTTGCTACTACATAAATACCAGTGTCGTCTGCAAACAAGACTACTGAAGTAGTTTTTGGAATTTCCCTTATCTGGTCTATATAAATACTAAATAATATCACGCTTAATGAAATCTATCTGTTGAAATTAAATGCATCATTTCTCTATAAAATTACAAAGTGAATCGACTATTGGTGAGACGCAGAGATTACTATGGGATATTTTCATTCATATGGGATAAAAATATCGCATAAAAATAACAGATATTTTTCACGCGTTGCGTTCAACGAAACGCATAAATACACAATAGCGATTCTGCACACACAGAGTCGCTGTTTTTCTGTTATACTCCTCACACTTACGATGAGCTGCGTGGAGCGTGCATGCACATGTTTCGCTCACTTTTTTCTTTGAACACTCTTCGTGTGTCAACACAATGTCTGTGTGTATAGCTTGTGCCGTCGTTTGTTAACGACGTCAATGACTGATAAGAGATATCGACTTGGTGTCTTCCATAAAGTTTTAGTACTCCTCCAAAGTTGTATCTTATCTCTTATCGGTTCCATTAAAACCATGATAAGCCCCAATATAGCTTGAGGCATGTCAACATACTCTCTTTCAACGCAGACAGAATCAACAGAGAATATACTTAACGTTTAAAAAATATAGTTCGAAAAAAAACATACACTCTTTTACGTCTCACTAATAGAGTTGTGATTGAGCGACAACAAAAATGAAAACCAACAAAAATGAAATTGTAGTAATAATGAATGACTCACCCATTGATTTTTCACTAATTGGAAAAGCTGAACAAGCCGTTACAATGGCAAATAAACTTGCGATTGAGTAAACCAGCTGATTTATCAACTTCATTGTGCATTTGAATTAATTGAACTATTGATGATTTATGAAGAACGGCGGTACAAGGAGATATACTGTCGATAATGATGATACGATTGGAAAATCGTTTCGTTTTCACGTACTCCTTAAAATTAACACATTTCACATCAACACTTGAAATTTTCCTTTGAAAAAATTGTCATATATTCGGCGTAGCACGTTCACGAGCCTCAATTCAGAACTTTTCGTTTTCATTTATATGTCTTCAATGTTTTTTTCCTATTGTAAATACGAGGAAAACTGTGTTTGAGTTAACATAATAAATAAAGTTCTATATTCGAAGTAACATTATGTTTGTCCATAGTTGTGTTGCTCCACTGCGAAATTTGAGGGCATGGCTTTGAAACAATCTTTCATTTTACATAGACTCAAATGCTGGGTTCAATTCACCGGGAAAAGATTGAAATTTTTTGGTTATTGACATTTGTCAGCATAGTTATCGCACTCATTTTTTGTCTTCACAATGAAGTGTTGTACTGAATCAACGTTGTTGATATCAGGATGTTTTTTTTTATCTTTTCACAACGTTTTCTTTGAAGTTTTGCATTCCTTTATCTAGCACTGAAGATTTAATTTTCAATGAGGATAGGAAATGTTGTTTTGTTATGTGTTCAATTAGCTAAATTATCAGCACTGGAATGACAAAGTATAAAAACAATTAAAATTGGGTCAAACAAAAATCTATGAAATTATTCCATTTTTTATTGCTATAATTTTAGTTTTTTTTTCAATCTAATGAGTCGAATTTCATGCAGATACTGGTACACGGCATTTACTCTGTATGTGTTCGCCATCAGAATTGATGAAGGTGAACCGTTGCACAATTGCACTACAAACAAAATGTTTCGTACAAGTAAAACGCATGCCGATCAATTAGATTGAAAATGAAACGAAAAGTACTGCCAAATAATTTATTCATTACTGCACAGTGATTCATATTGATGTTTCTTTTTTTTGCATGAGTAAATTTGATCCGAAAGGTTATATACAAAAAAAGTTAAACACGCTACGAAGTGCGTTTAATTGTCCTTATGCGTACGTCGGGTTTCTTTCACCATTCATGGATGTTTTAACTTTACATTTTCTGTGTCCCGTATGCACTACTCGTTCAGTGTTTAGAACAGTATATTCGTGATTGCAAATCAAAACAAAACCAAAATATTAATTTAGTTTTGAATCATTTTAATCATATTCCAAAAATACGATTCGAAGTGCGATAAAGCATTTAGATCTTGAATTGGATTAGATTCATTCGATGTCACCAATACTGGTTTCAATGTGCGTGTGTATATATAAATATATATAATTATAATATTCAAGTCCTGGCATTTTGATACACACCAATAGATGAATTGCAAAAATTGGTGAGTTTTATTACGAGATCTGACACAATTGACTCAATAATTCGCACAGCTAAGCAAAATGTGGCACTTGCACACAATCAGACTCACTCACATTAAAAGAAACAACAATTTTTTTTTAGTCAGCCTTTCCTTCAAACGCTATTTCCATTAAAACTTTATTTACGTTGTATTCCGCTTGTAAAATATATAGTATAATATTAGACATTTCGGTGCAAACATTTCATGGAAAAACTATAAAAGTAGCATTTTCAAAATGCAATTATTTGATTTTGTTGTTCGTTCTTTTTTTTTGTTCAAGTATCATCACACTTTGTAGACAAACCGATGCACAAAAGACACCAGCTGCAGTTCTAATCACAAATGACTAATAAAACACAAATCTGTTTGTAAATTGTTAGTTAAACCATCCGGTTGTCACTTATTTATCGATTTTCAATATATTGAACATACACACAATTTGGCCTAGAGATCTAAATATTGGTTCCAATGTCTCGACCAACACAATTTTGGCCTTTTCCATTTTGTATTTGTTTCTTTTTCGCCTGTCGTATGGTGTGAAACAAGATATAGAAAAGTTACACTGTTACTGATTTGCTGCTCATACTATTACTGACACTGTGTGAAGTTTATGTTTGCGTGCACTTCATACATATCCAAAAAACAGAGTTTATACAGTAACACTAAAAATTCGAGCGCTGAACACACGAAAGAGAAAGAAATAAATATTCGCGCATATCTCTACACATTCCGTTGCTATTAGTAGCTGTCATCTTTTGTCGCTTTCCTTCCCTCTACTTTCTTCTACTGTTCTCATTGCGCGTGAGTGTTACAAATTTGTGCGTTCATGAATGTCAGAATGCAATATGGTCCATTCATTGAATAAATGAATGAGTTTAATGTCTCTTGTCTCTCTCTTCCTCTCTCTATCTCCTTGTTCTAATACATTTTAACTTAACCGAATGCGCCAAATTTGGTCACAAAATAATCACATCGTTTTGGAGTTTTTCTTCTGTGTATTTGAATTCGTCAATTGGATTCTCAATGTATTTTTTATTTACTATTTCTAATGAAAACCAAACAACATAATAATAGAAAATTATTATTATACTCAATATTTTTGTCAACTCATTACTGAATCGGAAATAATTGCACATCTGTTAGTATTAGAGTATTGCTGCAATAAATACGATATTTCAGTATTTTGCTGTCGCAAAAAATTGCATTCGTACATTTGCTTCCTTCTTCTCTTCAAAATCTATATTCAGAAAATTAGAAAAAAAAGTAATTCTTGCATAAATTAAAATTATAACAATCCTAACCAACCTGCAAGTAACGAAGCAGTCCGTTCACAATTGTATCCCAAATTAATTCCAATTCATTTGGAATCGTGCGCATATAGTCTTTCCAAAACAGTTCAATTTCATTAGCATCAATTGAATAAAGCGCATTGGAGTCTTCATCATGCGATAGATGTTTCACAATCATTTTCGATGGAGCTCTACCATCCAGATCAATAAGGAACTGTTGCATGATTATTGGTATCATATGTTGATCCACAAAAAAATTTGTTATCTCATGTTCAGCGCATTGATCGCTAGTTTCTTCTCCTATTGTTGTTATTTCATTAAACTTTCTTGAGCACGTAATACACGAAGCGTATGGAAGGAAGTAGTTTTTCAATAAATGTGCACTCTCCAAATTTGTTACGCCAAGTGCCTATTTCAAAATAATTACAGACTTCGACAGATCAAGGTGAAAATGTTTCAATTTCAAGTAAAATCATTACCGTTAAAATGTTATCGATGGTAATTATTCGTTTTTGCTTATGATCCTCGATCAAGTCAAGAAATTTAGTCAATTTATCGCCAAGCATCCAATTTGTTTGACTAGAAATTTGCTCACCGATCGTGAAAAATAATTCCGAAAAATTAAATCGTGTAGAAACGTCATCCAGTTTCTTTTTAATTGAATGAAAATCTGCATGCAGAAAAAATTGTGAAATAAATATTTTCCTCGAATGCAGTACATACAATTCTTATTCCCTCCCGGGGCTGGAATTCTAAGTCATTCCACCAAAATCGTTGGGAATTATTTTTTTCGTACATTAGACCATATTGGAGTGAAAAAGAGAGATTCCACTATTTTTCAGCGTTCCACCGGAATTATTCCGATAACTCAAGGAAGAGTGGATTGTGTGAGAAATAATTCCGGTGGCACGCTGAAAAATTGTGGAATCTCTCTCTTTCACTCTAATATGGTCTTATCGAGGGGCAGATCACTCAAAAGTAATTGCATTAAAAAGAAGTAATTGCATTGGTAATTGCAAGAAAAATGTAGTAATTGCTGATCAACAATTACTTTCGCAATTACTTTTTTCTCGTGCAATTACTGCTAAATTTTGCAATTACTATTTTGAGTGATTTGCCCCTCGGGTCTTATGTACGAAAAAAATAATTCCGAACGATTTTGCTGGAAGTCATCCAGCCCAGATCTGCCGTGCGAAATTTTGACGTTACTGCGGTTTTGATCCATAAAAAATACCTATGACTCAAATATGAACACGGAAACGTAAAATTTCGTGTTTGGGAGTTTTTGGAGATGCTTTTTCAAACGCGCATAGGCATTTGAAAATCGGCGTCTCATATATGACGTGACGTTAACTGTTTAGCAGATCTGGAAGAGAATAAGAATTTTGTACTGTAGATGCGTTACGATACCGAGTCGCAAACGGCTTATCTGATAAATTCATGCCATAAATTCATCTATTGATGATGAATTCATCTGGCGGTATACCCTGATTTTTTCTTACCATCGATGCATGAAGATTTCTTGGCTTCCACGACTGATTGAATTGGCTGCAATTGATTTTGTTTTGATGACTTTTTGCATATAAACTGTTTCCACCGAAATCCCAAATGCTTTTCATGTAGGATTCTATCAATCTGCATGATGTCGTTTAGCTTTGAGTCAGCGTTGCTCTCATATAATTGCCAAATATGCTGAAACTAATTTCATACAAAAAAGGGATGTAGATTTCAATCGGGCAAATTGTTTTGCGATCGATGTTGCGTACCTTTTGATAACCACTTTCGCTAAATGTACTCATTTTATGTTCCAATTCTTTAATATTTGCATATAAATTAAGAACATAGTGTGTTTGTCTTTCAATGTCGATTGTCTGTGTCATCCTGGCTGTATTTATCTTTTTTCGTAGCATCGATATGCATGTTCGCATTTTGATTAAGCGATTTTTTTGCTTGTTCCGAACGTTAATGTTCTCAGCGGCTCGTTTTTGCAACACATAATAGTTATAGTTCAATTGCTCCATATTCAATTCACTTTCGGCTTTAGCACGTTGTAACTTCTGTTGCACTAAGTTATTGTCTTTATCCAACTGAATTCGCATTTCTCGATTGATTTCTTCATAGTTTAGCCGGGTAGCTGTTATTTCATCGTAAAATTTTTCCTTTCGATCAAGTAAATCGCACAGATATTGTTCTCCGTCGGAGGTTCTTTCGACGAAAAGCATCTGCCATTTATTGCTGTGGTATAATTTAAAGGTACGACGTTCACTGTCGATGCTATGGTGTAACAGTTCAAGATGTTCCAAATAATCCAATTTCATTACATCGATTTGCTCATCAATACGCTCAATCAGGGATTGAATATCTCCTTGTTGTTTCAACTGATCGGTGTTGTATATTCTACTGCCATTATTTAGTATTTCCTGCAGTTCAATGATTATTCTATCCTTTTGTTGCATTAATTGTGCAATAAGTTGATTTTGATATCGCAAACGTTCATTTAGATCCATTGGATCAGATATTTCAGCTAGTTCCGACCATCGGCTATTAATTGCATTCAGCTTTTTTGTAGATTCCTCCGATTCTTGCTGTAAATCGGCCAATAAATGGGCTCGCTGTTGATCTTCCTGTAAACGACGACTTGCTTCACGTCGCTCATTTGCGGTTTTAATATTTGTGATCAACTCTTTGCCGTCACATAGCAAATCATTCAACTGTTCTTTGGTCGCATTTAATCGCTTTTCAATTGTTATTTGATTGCCATGTGTGTCCACACTTTGCTGAGCAGCTCTGCTGGGCGAATGCAAAATAGAAACGTTAATAATTGAGTTCAATGTAATCTTAAAAAAACAAAGTGATACGAACACATCCTTCGCGATCCTCCTTTTTTGTTGGACACTTTCTTTCATTTTGTTTAAAATTTTATATGTTTCCCATGATTTTATACAATGTTCATTTCCTTCATTAGTTTCCTCCATTTTTTGGGAATTTACAACTAGAAAAAAAACGAAGTTCTTAGACGTAAATATTTCCTTGTTAAATGGTTTTATTTGTTTGGAATCGTATATATTGACTAAATACATTTATATTTTGCATGGCAACCGCAATTTATGTAGTATAACTTATTATTGACAAATATCCCAGGTCTTTTACCTTTTGGAAGTGTATGAAATTTAATTGACAAACACAAGTTTCGTTTTTTTGTTCGAGTTTTTAGTATTTTTAGATAAAAACCGATAAAATTTGTATTGATTATCGAAAGATATGAAAGTGAAGTTGTCAGTACTTCGAAAAAAAATAACGTTATTTGAATTTGAGTCACAAATGAACCTATTTGACATTTAAATAAATGTCAAAACAAACGAATCCATGTGCATATGGAACCATTCAGAACGTATTTTTGACATATTTATTTGGTGGTTAGGCATACAATTGTAATGATAGAAATTTGCTAAATCAAAGCTCATCAATCCATTACAATTGATTATGTCGACACAATATAAAAAGTTTCTAAGATTATTAGAACATTGGCCAGTTGATAGCACAAAACCGGGAAGGTAGCTTGTAAATAATGATGAAATCGCTTGTCATCGTTGCACTAACATTTTTTTCTTTTTTTTTTCATCGCAGAGATCTTGGTGAATATTTGCGGAAGCAACTGAAAGCATCTTTAAGGGCCGGTAACATTTCATCGGATGGTGACGCGTATATGGAGCGGCAATTTCAAGCTCTCGAGCGAATTTCAAATAACATTCATTACGACAAATATAGCCGGTTGCGTCAATCAACCGCCACTGGACTGACAAACGAACAGTGCAAGATTTTAATTTCTGACACATCATTGAAATATTTTGCTGAACAGCAAAAAGGCGGTCTATTCGCTAGTTTTTTCAAGAATCAACCCCAAAAGTAATCAGTAGGAATGATTGGATGCACAGTCATACGACCAAAAACATCAATTTTACCACTTAGTCGTCTTATTTTAAGTCGAACGAATCGTGGAATTGTTTCATCTTCATCAAATCTTGTAGAAAATAGTAATAGTAATGTAGTATCTCAACAGACAGACAACGTAGATTATACTACCGTACAGCATGTACCTGTAATGTCTAGAGAAGTGATTAAATCTTTGAAGCCTGAAAGTGGGAAAATATACATTGATATGACTTTCGGTGCTGGCGGTCACACAAGAAAGATTCTCGAATCAGCGCCCAATGTAAAGTTAATTGCACTAGATCGTGATCCAGATACAAAAAGGCATATGGATATCATCTGTGAAAATTTCCCGAATCAAGTGATCCCATTGTGCGGAAAATTCTCTGAATTGCCATCGTTACTCGAATCGATGAATATAGCTGAAGAATCAATTGATGGCATTCTATTCGACTTTGGATGTTCGTCAATGCAATTTGATCATGCTGAACGGGGCTTCAGTATTAATTTAAATGGTCCGTTAGACATGCGTATGGACAAAAATCGATATCCAGATGAACCAACCGCCGCAGATGTATTAGCTACAATCGATGAAAATGATTTAGCTAAAATCATCAAAGTGTACGGCGGTGAGAAGAAGGCGAAGAAAATTGCACGCACAATAATCGATGTTCGGTATGCATTGAAGCCGATTCGAACCACACATGAGCTGGCAAGCATTGTCGCTTCATGCTTCGATGAAAATTTTCACTTAGACCGATTGAATCGACCCATGCATAATGCAACCAAGACGTTCCAAGCCATTCGTATATTTGTGAATGACGAACTGAATGAGATCAATTACGGGATTCAATGCGCTGAAAAATATTTGAAATATGGTGGCCGACTTGTGACCTTAACGTTCCATTCATTGGAAGACACAATTGTTAAGCGTCACATTCAGGGTCAGGTGGTACAAGGTATAGCAAACGCCTTAGCATTGAAATATGTTAGTCAAATGGAAATTTGCGAGAAAAATATGATCGAAAACTTTATGAAGTCAACGTGGAAACCGCTATACAAACATGTAATCATCCCATCACCAAAAGAAGTCGATTTAAATCCACGATGTCGTTCGGCCAAACTGAGAGCAGCAATTAAAACACACCAGTAATGAAAAAGAAAAATGGAAATAAATTTTGTCAAAATTTAAAAAATGCGTTTTTCTTTTCTTGTGAGTCTTTTTCGTCTAATTAGCCTTTTGTCTACGTTCGATGAAATATGTCATTTTTTGCTTTTGACAATGATGACATAACCTCAAGGAGGAACTTCGAGTTGTTTTGTTCTATATAGTAAAAAACATTCAGACTCAAGATGAGGGTGTTCAAGAGTGTCATTTCTTTATTAAATAGACAAGCCAAAAAGGAAACATTGTCCGCAACAAATCGACTTTATAATAGTGATGGAAAGAGTGTTAATTGCAGGACTGATGCAGCCAAAAGCGTAGAGCAAACACAAAAAAATAATGAGCCTGAACGACAGAAATACAATCCAATCGTGGAAAGTCATTTTGAAGATGGTGTTTCAATAACATCGTATAACACAGTAAGAGTTACATTCAGTAAAACCAATGGTTCGAATTTTAGCACAAAAAACACTGATAGTGCCCAAATTGGTTTGCTTTCTTAGTTTGGATTCCGTTTGAACCAACAAATTTCAGTCATTGGTCCAGTTATTGTGTTTCCACGAACGGTCTTCTCATGGCATGTTGAAAGTGTTGAACGAATCAACGCTGATTCGCTGGTTATATTCGGTCTTGTGCAACCGAGAATCGAAACGCTAATCATCGGCACGGGAGAATTTGAGACGACATCGCATGTTGGCAAAAATATCTTGGAAATAGCACATAAACATAAAATTAATATCGAAATTCTTACAACGGAACTGGTCAGTCAAGAATTGATGATATCGGTGCATTTGACTTGTAGTTCTGACCATTTTTAGACCACCGCAATATAAATAAACAGCATTCAATTTAGATATAAATAGAAAGAATTGTTTTTGTTTTCAACAGTTATGCTTGCCCGTTTCGATTTGATTATGTGGTTGAATTTTACTTTGATACTACGGTAGAAATGGTTGGAACTACAGTTAAATCCTATCCTAGTATTCAAACATATGCTGAGATATTTGAGTTAATAGTATGTTTGTTCATTCATTCATAATCATCTATAGGCCTGTACACAATTCAATTATTTGAATGCGGAAGGTCGAATGATAGCAGCTGCATTAATTCCGCCAAAAGAAACACGGATTGGTGAAGATGACATTTTCTGCACGCAAAATTTCGATAGTAAATTATTCACAATTGACAGCATGCACACGGAGGATATCAGAAATTTTACAAAGAAAAAATAATTCGAAAAACCATACATTTTTTGCAATAACTTTCAATATCATGTCGCACTGAAAAAATAGTTATATTTCAATAAAACGATATTCAAAAATAATATATAGTTTACTTTGTATTTGGTCTGACATTCGACATTTATGATGCATTAGATAATAATATCGATTACTCCACGTAAATATCTTCTTCCATTTTCATTGGAGCATCGTTGTTTGTAATATCTGCCTCAATGGATGTTTGGCTGGGCTCATTAAGAACGATAGGCGTTGAAAAATACTTATTACTTGCATAATGTTCTTTAAAATATTCGCCACCATATTCTAGGTAATGATTTTTGGTTGTGAGATACTCATTGAAATTACTTAAATTAGCCAAGTCTTTTGCCCCATGCCATGCATTTAGGTTGACATTTTTCGCTACAACTACATTGAATACTGTTCGAAATGGTCGAATTTGCATCATTTCTCGGTTAAGTCGTTCTTTTAAACCTATCAAATGAGAAAAAAAATACATTAAACTCAGTTCAAAAGAAAATATATATAAATGCAACCTCTGAAGTTAGCACATCCACCGCTCAAAAGTATATTTTGCGATAAAAGTAGTTGATCTTCCGCTGAGAATTGCTGCAAAACATAATTTATCGTTTCTGTAATTCCAGCCTCTGAGCTTCCAATCATACTCGGTTGGAACAGAAGTTCCGGTGCTCTTATTGATTCCACACCCAGGTGTAGCTGTTCAAAACAAAAAGCGAATAAATATAGCTAAGAATTTTAAATTGAAACGACTACATTGGAATTGCATTTGAATTATGGCGACAAAATACAAACAAAATGAGAAATGTCAAAACAACACCTTACATAACCTTAAATTGCAAACAAATCAATCGGTTGTTAGTACATAACGATTATCACTTTACCCGTTTGAAAGTAGGAAAAAATTATGTTTAGGTTCGGCAAAGAGATACTTTTCCAAAATGTTTCATTGATTCGACGATTCAAATTGAATCAACCGCAAAATAAATTGACAAATCGGTTATATAGCAGCAGTTATGAGGGTGATGGTAAAACCAAAGTTAAAGTGTTGAATAATGATCCAGACATGGGATTGATGGTTAATTCATTCAGTGAAGTAGATATTATAAATAAGTAATTGATTATTTTCGACAGGATAATTGTCAATATTTTCTCCTTTTAGCTTGGCTTTCGACTCAATAACAAGTTCAGTGTAGTTGGACCAATGGTGATATTTCCTCGCACAGTTTTATCGTGGAATGTTAATTCGGTGGATGACATAAATGAACATTCGTTGCGATTATTATTGGCGCTCGATCCAAAATTAGAACTTTTAATTATCGGCACCGGCGACAAAGAGGTTACACCTGAACTAACTAATGCAATATTATCGATTGTAAAACCATACGGTATACGGATAGAATTATTAAAAACTGACGTGGTATGTCAATTTATCTCAATCAAATTTTTGGCAATGTAAATAGCCTTTGGCTTTTTTTACAGGCATGTACAACTTTCAATTTCATGAATGCTGAAAGTCGATTTATAGCCGCCGCTTTGATACCACCGAAGAAACTTAAATTCAATGATATGGATCTATTGGCGGTAGCCGAACGACAAAAGCAACTGTATGGACCGGATGAACATACGATAAAAATTACGTCTTAGTTTAATACTAGTTTTAATACCAATGTCATTTTAGGCAATAAAACCGAAAAAGTTAACACATTTCGAAGCAAGAACGATTGTTATTTACTTGATAGTTTTCAGCTGCACATTCTGGTACAAGTTGTGGTTCCTCGAACGATGGATCGTAATGCCTTAAAATGGTATCAAATTCCAACAATTTTTCGTTTTCTTCATCGCTATCGCTGTCATCATCTTTGCTGATTGTCTTGTATACATCCCAATCTTCGTCACGCATTCCAAAATCGTCATCATCCTTTTCTTTCCGTGCCAACTGTGATATGATGCGCATGCGCTCCTGTGCGGCAACCGTTCTTCTTTTGGCCAAATCTTGTTTTCGTTGTTTTCGTGAAATTCGTCGTTCCAATATTGCTGCACGTCTCTTTCGAATGTCACCGATCCATACGTCGATATGGATGTTAGTTGGCGGTTTTGGAACCTTTTCTTCAAAAGGATTATTTGCTGAAGTTTCCGCTTGACTTCCAGTTTTTTGCATTGCACGCTCAAGCCGATTCCCTACCGCTTGAATCGTTTTCTATAAATGATAATAAATAGCGTTTAGCACAATGAAACGAACAAACGAAAAAACGAATTCGTTACAACCTCCAATTCCTCACGATTGCTCAGTAAATTTTGCCGCATTTGCTTCTGATACTCTTTTGTTTCACCACGCTCATAACATTTCTTTATACCGGTTAGTTTTTCGAGTTGTTGTTTATCTTCAGCCAATCGTTCCTCTCGTTTTCGGGCGTTCATTTCAACCAGTCTTTTTGCCATTTCTCGTTTCTTCTCATTCTTTTGTTCAGCTAATTCGAGGATATACATTTTAGTTAGTAAGGTGAAATTTGAAAAAAAGGAGGAATTACTAACCTGTCAAAACAACATTTATCGAGTTAATCGGTACATTGTACGGTAGTTGGATTTTTTTCACGTTCTTTTCATAAAATTCCAAACTCGACCATTTTCTCAGCTCCTCTAAGTAATCATATGCAACAGAGCAGTGTGTGTGCAAAAGCCATTCAATTCGGCTTAATGAGATTGCATTTACATGAACGGGATACTTTAACTGCAGCAACCGATGGAGGAATGTAATTATTTGAAATCCACCCAAATTAATACGACGTATTTTTGTATATTGTGCGATCCCATCTAAGATGGGAATCACATGGATTGTGTAGTATCCAAATGAAACTATCAACCCATTTTTTCCAAGATTATTGTGAGCGAAACTAAACAGCGAATCGATTCCATAACAAATAGCCGGCACATCATAGCACTCGAATAACAGTTCGGACATAACTAAAAGAAAATCAGATTATTATGCTTATTTGAAACTTTCATTTGAAACCAAGGAAGAACAAGGTCAGGTTACGTTGTCTGCAATAGTTGGGATTGGCAATACATTCCGTCAACACAATCGGATGATTTACACAGTTTTCTGTATCGATTGCCAAGTGGCGGAATATGTCATCAAAGATTTGTTCTTGGTTGTAATAATGCGTCACAACATTTCTATCAAACTGGAAAATATGCCGTAATATTTTAGTTTTCATACTGATTTTTTATTATAATCATATTATATTTGAGACATACTTGTGTTCGTAACTGGTATCGCATCGTTTCAATATTCACAATATCATTGCCAATTTGTATTGGTTGAATCAGTGGCAATTCACCGTCTTTTTTTGCCTTTTCTCTTCGTGGTTTAGCAATCAAATTCCGGAATATCATCATTGGATTGTCGTTGGAGGCCCAACCAACACGACACTCATATGAACCTACAAAACAAGGATTGTTTGCATTTAAATGACCACTAAACCGCCAAATTGGTTTTGGCTATTCATATATTTACCATTTTCAATGATTAAAGGAGTTTGGCTTGCTTTCACCTGGGGACTATACTCATGAATAATATCCGGAACCACCTTGAATCCTTGCAATTCAAAAATACTCATTTTTATTTAAACAAAAAAAAAGTTGCAAACAATATGGTTGTAATTTTGTTTATATCTCAAAGAACTATGTGATGACAAGCCGATAGCGGTAATGCGTTGTAAAACAGACGCTGCGTTACGATACGATATCCCTGTGAAATATTTTTTCCTGCGGACATATAATTGAAATGTAAAAAAAAAACATTCATAAGTAGGTTTCATTTCATTTTGTTCATCATGTAAATAAAATTTTGATACAAAGCGTTTTGTTATTGCAATACAAATGCCTAATATAAAAACTAATATCAACGTCGAAACCATTATGTTCCAACAACGTGAAGTTGGTGCCTTAAATAAATGTCAAGCCGATGTGACTGTATTGCTAGCAGAAACTTGGAAGGTGCGTTTCATAGAATTCTCACACATAAAATGAAAAATGGTGTCGATATAACTAACAACTTACATATTTTCCCGAAAATTTGGTTATTCGTTGTTGAATCGTCAAAGTGAGTGGTCGTATTGAGTTTCATTCTCGGTAAATTTATTGAAAAGAAATAAAATTGAGACACCAGTGATTTTTCCATAATATTATTGTGCTTAAAATATAGTCAATTCACATAAGTAGTGTCAGTGGATTCGTTGACGACGACAATTCCTACATTTGCTTTGTAAAGAGTTCTGCATTTGTATCAGTTGGTTCTAATTGCTGTTCAAAACTAAACAGTTCGAACATATACAAGACATTCCTTTGTCGATAAGTGTGTAATTTGTAGTGAAAATGTCCGATTCGGAAGTGAGCAATATGTCGGATAGCGGCTCAGATGCTCGAAGCGATGTTTCAAATCGGAGCCGCAGCGGTACACCGAGGAGCAGAAGTCGTTCATGTAAGCAAACAGAACAGTGAAATTCAACAGATGCATGACATTAACTTTTCGAAATATTTTTCCTAGATTCAAGATCGAAATCCCGCTCCAGATCACGTTCAGGTATGTTACATTCATTCACATTGCTGTTTCAAAGAAATGACCTCAAAGTAAACAAAATACAAATTGAACAATATTTCGATCATTTTGATTTTCTAGGCTCACGGTCTTCAAACGAAGAAATCGAAGATGAAGAGGAGCCAGAAGGTGAAGATTTGGACGATTCGGAAGAAGACGATGACAGACCCAAGAAAAAGAAGAAGAAGGAACGCTATGGGTAATTGAATGAAAGGTGTTTTTCAAATAAAATCATGGCTTATTGTACATTTTTCGTTTGCATTATATTGTGAAATACAGTGGATTCATTATTGATGAAGCAGAAGTTGATGACGAGGTGGACGAAGATGAAGAATGGGAAGATGGCGCCAATGAAATAGGCATTGTCAATGAAGTCGATGAAATTGGGCCAACAGCTCGCGAAATCGAGATCCGTCGCCGTGGAAATTTATGGGAGTAAGACAAATCGGTGTTAATCTTTTAAAATGAACAATCGAAATTAAAAATTTCATTATTGAAATTAAAGCACTCAAAAAGAAGACGAAATTGAAGAATACTTGCGAAAGCGTTACGCTGATGAATCAATTGCCAGAAGACATTTTGGAGATGGAGGTGAGGAGATGTCTAACGAAATCACACAACAAACATTGCTGCCAGCCATTAAGTAAGTGGAAATTTGGAAAAATGCAGATCGCCCGTTTCCATATATCGAATAATTAATATCATTCCATAGAGATCCAAACTTATGGATGGTCAAATGTCGAATTGGTGAAGAAAAAGCGACTGTTTTGCTCTTGATGCGTAAATTTCTAACTTTTCGTAACACTGACGAACCGCTGCAAATCAAATCCGTTGTTGCACCAGAAGGTGTTAAGGGCTACATTTATGTAGAAGCATACAAACAAACGCATGTCAAAGCGGCCATAAACAATGTTGGAAATCTCCGTCTTGGACAATGGAAACAAGAAATGGTACCGATCAAAGAAATGACCGATGTATTGAAAGTAGTCAAAGAACAGACTGGACTAAAGCCAAAACAATGGGTTAGACTACGTCGGGGTCAATATAAAGATGACATTGCACAAGTCGATTATGTGGATATGGCACAAAATCAAGTGCATTTAAAACTTCTACCACGTATCGATTACACACGTTTGCGTGGTGCACTCCGAACAAATCAACCTGAAGCTGAAAACAATAAACGAAAACTGAAACGAAGACCACCAGCAAAACCGTTTGATCCAGAAGCTATTCGGTAAGCACCAGCATACTCTTGAGTATATAATAATCATTTTCATCCTTAAAATTATTTTTCTTTTGTTGCAGCGCAATCGGTGGAGAGATCACGTCGGACGGTGACTTTTTGATTTTCGAAGGAAATCGCTATTCACGCAAAGGCTTCCTGTATAAAAACTTTTTAATGTCAGCCATTCTATCTGAAGGTGTAAAACCGACACTTGCCGAATTGGAACGATTTGAAGAACAGCCGGAGGGTAAATATTGACGAGATGATGTGTATATAAAAATTAATGTTGTGGTAATTATACTATTCTATTCTATTCTTGTTTTTCGTAGAAATAAACATTGAACTGGCAGTCTCAAGTAAAGAAGACCCCACATCAACTCACTCATTTTCAATGGGAGACAATGTGGAAGTCTGTGTGGGCGACTTGGAAAACTTACAAGCCAAAATTATTGCAATCGATGGGCATATGATTACGGTAATGCCAAAGCATGAGGAGCTTAAAGATCCATTGATTTTCAAGGCGAACGAGTTGCGAAAATACTTCAAAACTGGTGATCATGCAAAAGTACTTGCTGGTCGCTATGAAGGTGAAACTGGTCTGATTGTTCGAGTTGAGCCGTCACGTGTGGTCCTTGTCTCCGATTTGACGATGCACGAATTAGAAGTGTTGCCACGAGACTTACAACTTTGTACAGATATGGCAACTGGTGTCGATTCATTGGGCCAGTTCCAATGGGGAGACTTGGTGCAACTTGAGTAAGTAATCAACGATTCAGCCGAAATCAATCGCTGAGAATTATTTTAAAACCGTCTTCATTCTTTTGGAATACAGTGCACAAACGGTGGGTGTTATCGTTCGATTGGAACGAGAAAATTTCCACGTGTTAGGTATGCATGGTAAAGTTATCGAGTGCAAACCGACTGCATTGCAAAAACGCCGTGAAAATCAAAATACAGTTGCACTGGACTCGGAACAGAATCAAATACGTCGCAAGGATATCGTAAAAGTGTTGGAAGGGCCGCATGCCGGTCGAGATGGTGAAATCAAGCATTTATATCGTAGCTTGGCTTTTTTACACTCACGAATGTACACCGAAAATGGTGGAATATTTGTGTGCAAAACGAGACATTTAAAATTGGCTGGAGGTAATAAGAACAATACAAACTTGACCAATCCAATAGGAATGATCGGATTTTCGGTATGTAGCACATCGGCGACAACTACATTTCATGGATTATACAATTTGTGCTTTATATAATCATTTCATTGTAGCTAATGTCGCCGAGAATTCAGTCGCCAATGCATCCAGCTGGCGGCAATCGAGGAGGAAGAGGTGGAATGCGTGGCAGAGGCGCTGGCCGCGGTGGAATCTCACGTGATCGTGAAATTATTGGTAAAAGTATCAAAATCACAGGCGGATGGTATAAAGGTGCTGTTGGAATTATTAAAGATGCAACCGCAGCTACTGCTCGTGTCGAGCTGCATTCCTCATGTCAGACCATTTCGGTCGATCGTAACCATATAGCAGTTGTTGGTGCACCAGCCAAAGATGGCAGCATCACGGTGTATGGTCGTACACCATCTCGTACGCCCTATGGATCACAAACCCCCATATATATGGGCTCAAAGACACCATTGCATGGAAGTGCTACTCCACAATACGATGGCAGCCGTACTCCATTGCATGGCAGTATGACTCCATCCCACGATGGCTCAATGACGCCAAGAACCGGAGCATGGGATCCAACAGTTACAAATACACCAGCCCGAAGCGCAGACTACGATTATTTGGAAGATCCATCACCAAGTCCAGGTTACAATCCAAACACACCGGGCTATTCAATGAATACACCGTTCGCACCGCATACACCGGGCAATATGTACGGATCAGATCAGGGATACAGTCCATATCAACAGAGTCCAAGTCCAAGCACATCATCCTATCAAATCGGTCATTTGGAAACACCGTCACCAACTGCTTATTCGCCGAACACACCAAGCGTACCGCCATACTCGCCATACAATAATCCACAAACACCGGGCGCCGGTTTGGATCAGCAGATGGGCGATTGGTGTACGACTGAATGTCAAGTCAAGGTTGTTATTTTCATCTAATTCTTTTACCCTGTTATTTTCATCTAATTTTTTTTTTCATTTTATCAATCGATACTAGACAATCTATCTCGAATTAAAGTATCATTGTAATTTTGATTTTAATTTTTATTCTTTCCAGATTCGTAGCCATTCAGACCCTGCATTGATTGGACAAACGGCTACGATTAAGACGGTCAACAATATGATTTGCTCGGTATATTTGCCAGCTGAAGAACGAACAGTTGCCGTCGAAAGTGATCAACTTGAACCAATACCACCATCAGTGAACGATCATTTCAAAGTTATTATGGGCGAGGATCGCGAGTCGATTGGTGTCGTTCTCACTATTGACAACAACAAAGCCATTTGCAACATCAATGATGAAACCACTTATAAATCACTATCCGAACTTTGCTTGATTTAAACCATCAATTGTCTCTTGTCAGTAGCGTGAAGGATTAAATGAAAATACCAATTAAGCTTTGTAAGTCTTGGAATGAAGTAATGGAAAACGAAAACAAAAGTAAAGGCCTTGCAGAGATTACGATAGCAGAAAATAGGCTTAAAATATAAAAAAAGTAAAAAATAATATTAATCACCATTGGATTGTAATTAAAAATGAGTATAACGGGATGAATAAAATGACATTAAATGAAATCAATGGGTTGATCGAAGAACATTTTTGAATATTTTGTTGAGATATCATTTGGCGACGTCCGGATGTTGATGATGAATAATTGGAGAAGCACTGTTTAAGCTCACCTAATTACCTAAACCCATGTACTTGTAAATCTCCCCACACCAATTACATGGGAATATTGCACTTTGCACATCACTTATTATATAATAAAACGCATAGAATGCTAGAATTGTTTTATTACATGATTATTGGCGCAAAATTAAAAATATAAATAGTATAAAATATTTGCAAATCAGATTTACGTGCGCTTCAGATTTACATGCCGTTTCATTGAATTAAATACCAATATCATCGTTCACATGCCATTATATGCAGGACCACCACCGCCTTCAGGAACAACCCAATTTATGTTCTGTGATACGTCTTTGATGTCGCATGTCTTGCAGTGAATACAATTCTGAGCGTTGATCTGTAGTTTTGTGTTGCCACCTTCTTCATTGGGTACAAATTCATAGACACCAGCTGGACAAAATCGTGCTTCAGGTCCACCGTAAACCGATAAATTTACATCCACCGGTATTTTATCATCTTTCAAAGTTAAATGGGCTGGTTGGTCACCTGAACCGAAAAAAATGCGTACAGATTAGAATGGAAATAAATTGAATGAATACTCCATCATTTCTGAGTAAGCCAAATGCTATTACCTTCATGATTGGTTCCAGTCAGTGCAACCGATGATAGTAAATCGAATGTAATTTTATTGTCTGGTTTTGGATATTCGATCTGTTTACATTCATTGATCGGTTTCAAGCGCTTATGGTCTGGAGCACCGTGTGATAACGTCCATGGTTCTCGCCCACCCAAAAATATCGTAAATCCAGTTCCGATAAAACCGCCATATAAACCAAGACTAGTGTGAAATGAAGGCCGTACATTTCGAACTTTCTTCAGATCTTTCCAAATGAACGATGATTTTATTCTGTAATGTGGAAGAAGCCAGAGGTTAGCTAATTCTAGAAGCAAAAAATTATCTCTACAAATCAATGAATTGCTACGAATAATAAAAAGTATTCATTCAATTACAGACACATAAAGAGACGTGCACAAATCGGACGTTCACATGCCCACATCTGAAGTGTTTTTTTTTTCAAAATTTTACATGGTTCTTTTACTTGAGTGATTATACATACTTGTCTGCATAGCTCTTTGGTTCCAGGCCGATTGTTTCTTGGGGTTTTTCTGACCAAATCTCATCTAAGACACTTTCAGCGGCTAACATTCCGCTCTTCATAGCATAATGTGATCCTTTGATACGAGGCACATTCAAAAATCCGGCAGAGCACCCTGAATTGCGAAAAGGGACGACAAAATTTCAATTAAAGAATCAAATGTTTAAATTTCAGTGACAAACCCGTCAAACAGCCTCCGGGGAATGTTAATTTGGGCAGGGATTGAAATCCACCTTCGTTAATTGCTCTGGCACCATACGCAATCCGGGTGCTTCCTTCTAATGTTTTTCGAATGCTTGGATGTGTTTTGAACTTTTGAAATTCCTGATATGGACTAAGCCATGGATTTGAATAATCCAAGCCGACAACGAAACCAATCGCAATCAATGGTGTGTCTTCGTTCAAATGATACAAGAATGATCCTCCGTAGGTATTTTTATCCAATGGCCATCCAGCAGTATGTTCAACCAAACCTGGTTTATGTTGTTCAGCTGGGATTTCCCACACTTCTTTCAAACCAATGCCATAAGTTTGTGGCTCACTATTTTCCGTTAAATTAAATCTGCTAAGCATTTGTTTTGTGAGATGTCCACGGCATCCTTCAGCGAAAATGGTTGTTTTGCCATAAATTTCCATACCACGAGCAAATGTATCCTTTGGTGCACCATCTTTTCCAATGCCCATATCATTTGTTGCAATACCCTTAACGCTACCGTCTTCGTGATATAACACTTCAGCTGCTGCACAACCGGGATAAATTTCAACGCCCAAAGATTCAGCAACTTCACCCAACCATCGCACGACATGACCCAAACGTACAATATAATTACCGCGATTGTCCATTGGCCATCCAGGGAAAATCGGTATATTTATGCGTGATGTTTCAGTTAAAAGGGAAAACACATCATGCGTTACAGGTGTTTTTAATGGATGATCCATTTCCTTCCAGTTTGGAAGCAATTCATTTATACTGATTGGATCTAATACAGCGCCCGATAAAATATGCCCACCGATCTCAGCCGCCTTTTCAACTACGCACACACGAATCTCTTTTTCTTTTTCAGCTGCAAGTTGCTTGGCCCGAATTGCTGCTGACAAACCAGCCGGTCCACCACCAACAATTACGATATCAACTTCGTCAGCATCACGTTCCATAGATACATCTTTCCAACGCGGATCACTTTCACGCGGATAAACGGTGTAATGTGTTGTAATTTTTGGATATTTTGCTGCCTCGGTTGAATACAAACATTTCAAAAGATGACGAGTCTGTCGGATAATAGACACTGTATAGAGAGAAAAAAATCAATGACTTAAACTTATGTTAAGAAATAAATTCATAATTTATATAGAAGTTAAACTACCAAGGAAAAAACAAAAATCGTCCTAACACTCCCGAAAAAATCTATCTGTATTGATACAGAAATCATAATTCTTTTTTCTAGTGAAAGAAGTGAAGTTTTCTTTTCATAGCATCTTAATATTGACCTTTCGACTCTTTATTTAATAAAAAAAAACCTACTCAGCTGATTTAGACAAAAAAAAAAACAATGACGTCAAAAAGGAAGAAAAATAGAATATTCTGTCGAGATTTGGTTTAAGGAATAAATTGGGTCAGAGATCAAAGTACAATCATGATTTTTCACAATCTAAAAAATATCCACAGGTACTTGAATGTTCAAAAAGTTGAAAAAGTTCCGTACCACTCGAACTATTCAGCAAACGAAACATTGATGAGGATTGGTTGATTTAATGTGCAACAAAATGTCGATGTTGTTTTGAGAAATTTGTCCACACAAACAAATGAAAATTTTCACGGAAAATATCCGTAACAAAACGTATAGCAATGCCCGACCAAGTATTTTTTTATTGATAAAGCACTGTTTACGCAATAAAAGAAAATATGTCGAAACAAGGCGCCGAAAAACGAAAACCAAAATAAGTGAAAAATTGTCAATCAATCTAATTTTAAAAACGATCAAAAACTAAATAAATAGACTTTGTACAGAAAGTGAAGTTTGCAAACTTGTTGTTGTTTAAATTTCAAAATAATCAAACAATTTAGCAATGGCCAAATGTTCACAAAATAAATGTCAAAATTGATAGTAGATTAAGTACATAACGCCACCTGGTGTCTCACTTTTGACATTGAATTAGACCAAAACTGGCGGCATACACACATACAACATGAAACCCGATTGGGAATGTGATTGTGACGGTATGTGTGGTTGTGCACAAATGTAACAAATGAAGAGAAAGTAAAGAGCTGACCAGTGATTAAAGTTATTTGATCCGAGTAAAAGCAGTCGTACTCAGGTCTACTGTCATTATGGAGGTAAGAAATCGTCACGCTCGAAATATATATATGGTGATTTGTCCAATAGTTTGGGTTCATTACATGTTATACGTTTTGAAAAGAAAAACCTGTTATTTTTACATCAAATGTTTTACACAATCAATGTTGATATTGGAAGAAATTTGAAATAGGGGACAATTTACCGCATTTTTACAAGAAATTTCGTTGTTCTTTATCAATTTTCTCAATCAATGTTCTATTTTGTTGGTAGATTGAAATTTTATATGCACATAATTCCAAATCAGCCGGTAAAGTAAATTTACCAGAAACTGCTACGGTGGTTGATGTCAAGGTGCAGGTGCATAAATTAGCATCTCATTTATATGTTGAACGACAATCGATTCGACTGGAAGCGCGTGGTAAAACCTTGAAAGATAGTGACACATTACAAAGTCTCAATTTGATGTCGGGCAGCAAACTCTACGTTAAAGATTTAGGACCACAAATCGGTTGGAGCACCGTATTTCTGTGCGAATATGCAGGACCATTGGCAGTTTATTTGTGGGTTTACCAAAGACCATGGATTTTCTTTGGAAACGTTGCAGGAGCATCATATTCTACTACACAACAGTATGTTAATTCGGTCTATTTTAATTTTTAATTTATACATTTATATTTCAAAAAAAAAAACAATGACTGGATATTTTTGTTCAATTTATTATAATAATTAGTATTGCTGCCGTATGCTATACAGTTCACTATTTGAAGAGACTGTATGAAACAATGTTTGTGCACCGTTTTTCACATGCCACCATGCCACTGATGAATCTTTTCAAAAACTGTGCATATTACTGGGGATTCACTGCATATGTCGCTTATCATGTTTGTCACCCGTTGTACACTCCACCATCATCATTCCAAACATACATCGGATTGGCAGGATTTGCGGTAATACTTTGCACAAATGTTACACATTTCCAAACATTCACAAAAGCACACCTTAGCATGCAGTATATTCTATGCTATCTGCCCAACAGACAAGCATACCGTTATGCTGCCTTATCAGTAAAGGTCCCTCGTTTACACTCTTATTTTCTCAAAATTCCGATTGTGTTAGTTAGTTAGGGTCAAATGATGGCGAATGACAACAATTATTAATTCCCGAAATTCTTTGGGGGTAGTTTTATGGGGTCGAAATTTCGGAACCCCCTATTTCCTGGACGCCATAGCTTCTAAGCGGATGGGAATTTGTGAAAATTGTCTTCGACAATGTTGTAGATCTAGTCGAAATTAAAAACTTTGCCGAACAAATCATCCCAAAAAACCAGCCTTCAGGTTTGATCTTATCAAAATGAACAATATTGCCGAACACTTTATCTCCAAAAACCACCCCCTTAGGCTGTAGGGTGGCTCAAAAAACTCAGATTTTCGGGGTGAATTTTAGACCTGAAGGGTGGTTTTTTGGGGATGATTTGTTCGACAAAGTTTTTAATTTCAGCTAGATCTACAACATTGCCGAGACACTTTTCACAAATTCCCATCCGCTTAGAAGCAATGGTGTCCAGAAAATAGGGGGTTCCGAACTTTCGACCACCCTAAAACTACCCCCAAATTGTCATTCGTCATTATTTGAGCCCAACTAACTAACCCCATCGGAATTTTGAAAAAATAAGAGTGTAAACGAGGGACCTTTACTGGTTAGTCTGATTTGTACTCTTTATTGTGTATTTGTCTCATGAGAATTTTGTTTTTTTTTCACTTTTGATTATAGCTTTGTGAATTAGGAAATTTGTCAACACACATTGCTCTTCGTAACTTACGGCCACCAGGAACAAGAGTGCGTAAGATTCCAATTCCAGACTGGAATCCATTGACACAGTTGTTCAAGTGAGTAATTTCTCATAAAATTGGTGTAAATGTGTACCAATTACGGAGTTCACTAATTAACATTTACCACATGTAGACGATCCACTTTTAAGAACTATATAAAAATTCTGTATTTTTCTACCGTTTTAGTTATGTGTCCTGCCCTAACTACACATACGAAGTTGGTTCCTGGCTTTGCTTCTCGATTTTAACCAATTGCATTCCCGCATTCATCTTTACATTTGCTGGTTTCTACCAAATGGCCGTGTGGGCACTCGGCAAACATCGAAACTATAAGAATGAATTCAAAAACTACCCCAAATCACGGAAGGCAATCGTTCCTTTCGTTCTTTAAATAGCAGAGATTCAAATATAGAGAGATATATGCGAAATGATGCAATTTAGTCTAGCTGCATTTGGGACATTTTAATTTATTTTTTATTTAATTTTGTGCCCATCACAGCTGGATGAGAATTAATATTTTAGAATATCTCCATCTATATAATAAATCCTGCTGATTAGAAACAACTCAATTAATAATCTTTAAAGCTTTCCATAAATTTACTTAACAAAAAATGTGTCAGAAAAAATCACCAGGATTTTGAACAAAATCCAAATGAAATTGTAGATTGCATTGTTCTTTTTTGTATCTAAAAACTGTGCAATTGATTTAAATTACAGCGTAAAATATGGGATGGTTTGGCGATTCAAACAAGAAACAAACGATTTGATCAAAAACTCATTACGAAATGGGCACGAAATATTCATTTAATCATATAATTCTTATAATTTTGCTTCGATTCACCGAAATCTTTTTAGCGTTAAATCCACAGAACATAATTGACTGGGATTTTTTTTGTCAAAAACTTGTCTATTTAGGAAATGACTTACAATTCAATAAATTTTCGACGTTTATCATGCGAAAATGTGTCACAAAAATTTGGTTGAATTATAAGGCACAGAACTCCAAATATCCAAAACAACCGGCAATTAACAAATATCTCAGGTGGACATTCAGCCAATTTGTTCTCCTGTTACATCTATCAATCGGAGTTAAAATATATTTCTGGGAAGATGGAATCAAATGTCACAGCTCATGGTGTAATTTTAATTGGTGCAAGAGAAAATTGTTGACTAAAATTCATCCATTCCTTATCATTAACATACAATGTTATAAATAAAATGCAATGAAATGGAATGAAATTAAAAAAATGAAAAGTTGTTTAATTCATGAAACATAGCTTGAAATATAGCTGTTTGATGATTGGACCATTTAGAATAAAAGTGACCGCTTAGAATTAGCTGGTCTCCAAAATTGTAGCTTTTGAGAATGCCCTTAACGTTTCTAGACGGTAAATAAAGTGCCCGGCAATTCGTCGAAGGTTACTTTTATTCTAAGCGATTCAACTGTAATTTTGACAATTGCAATCTATTGCATGCATATAATTTGATTTGATTGCATAATCGTTTTTCCAGCAAATTTGGACAAAAATAACGAATAGTAATAATTGAATCGAGTTTTTATCGTCTGTTGATCAGTTAACATTCGCGATCATAAGAGTCAAAATGCATTCTCATGAAACTTAAGTTATCTGAATGTCGCCATTGTCGCAGCTCATCATCATTTACAATCAACTTCAAGTTATATCGGTCGGCGGGAGACATGTGTGCGAGTGTGTCTCTGTGTGTGCGTGTTGTATTGTGACAAAGTAGAGAAGAATGAGCAATTTAAATTAAGCCCGTTTTGGTATATAACAAGCAATGGCAGTATCACACATGCAATGTATCGCCTAATACAGGCGTGCCACAGACACACACGTACACAACCATATACACACTGACAGACCACCGCACAATGACAAACGCAACATAACTTGATTGTGTGTGGTGTGTTTCAAATAGCCGTCGAAGAGAAAGAATGTAAGTGACTCTTGCATTCAAAGTAATATCAATTAAAATTGTGTAGACACACACAAAATCGAAACACAAAACAGAACGAAAATACCAAAAACAAAATATAAAATATACGAAAGAGCGTATAAAACGTAAAAAAACCAATTCGTTTCATTGCAACCGTATGTGTTGTTGTCTTTGAGTGAGTTTCATTTTAATTTTTCGTTTTTGAGCTTTGTGATTTTTGGACTCTTACATTGAAGGTTTGGGTCCATTGATGTTTATAATTTTTTTATACTCTTAATTTCCATCCGCCGCTTAATAACAATATATGAGGAAAAAAATACAAGCAACCAGAAAACCACTAAGTTTCAATATCATCGACGACGATATAGCTGGCTAACCAACCAACCAGCGAACGAACAATTTCTTCTATATTACTTCATTCAGTTTTTTTTTTGTTCAACTCTATTCCACCTCTTTCACACTCTGGCGCAAGGGAAACAACGAAACAAACAAAAGTGATTTGGAAGATTGGATAACTACTTAAAGTTGTAAAACAATTTGAACATCGCAAAAATTTACTTTTGAACAGCATGGATCTCGTGTATCTATTACGAATAAAAGCAAAAATACGTCCATATTATTACGGATTATAGGAAAATAGTGAGCCAAATTGAATAGGTGCTTTTCTGTAACGCACTTTCCGTTTACATAAGTGCAAGTGCAAGTGCATATGATTTGAGTTTAATGGGACAACAACTAATCCTGCCATTGAATGAAATATCATTCGACCAAATGATCACTAGTTGTTGCTGAAGTGAGAATAGGGTCCCAGTTTGGTCCTCGTTGTGCTTTCCATAGTGTCCCACTTGAGTTTGACAGTATTGTGGCGAAAATCATTCAACTATTTCATCACACCAAATAAGATAGATTAATTTGAAGTGTGTGTTAGTCCTTGCTTCTTTCTAGTTCTTATGATTGTAGCAAATGTAAATCCATAAAAAATCACCATGGTTTCATCCATCATTACAAACACTTGAAAAAAAACTTCAAAATCTGTTCAATCATACCGAAAATATATCCATAGTTATAAATGCACACATTAAATTCATTTGGATTTTTCATGTTGGCCAATTCACCAATTCATTCTCAACTGTGAAGTGGGTATTTAATTTCAAAGTGATTTGATTTTAAACATTTTGCATTCTAATTGTATCCGATTGAATTCCAAGGAGGAATAGTGATTGATCATATTTATCGTAACAAAAACAAAATGAATATAACACCAAAATAGTGTGATGAGCTTTGAGAATTGGGAATGCACCAATCATATATAATGTTTCATTCGTCCAAATGATGTTCTTTGGTTATCAAAAACAATTGCCACTTCAATCGACAGTGTAAATAGCTTCACAGTCTTTGATACATAATATCAACATGTTAGTGTCACTTGTGTATATGTGATGAGTTTTCGGGATGTGATGTTAAATTGAACTACTCTAATTTACAGAAAAAAACTCACAATCTCATTGTTCCTCCCCATTAGTCTAATTACGGTAGCGAAACAATCGACTGTCTTTACGAATACAATGACTGGTGTGCAAAAGAACGCAGAAAAAGTGTAGTTACAATGCATCGTATAAATTATATTGAAGTATGACAAAAAACAGAAGGTTTCGATGCACATAGCCCCAAAAATATAGACAATCACGGTTTGAGTACAAGTACGTATTTCCCTTTCGATCGTGCGATCTTTTTGTTTGTTTGTTTCAGTTCATCATCAAGCGTTCAACCTCTATATCTCTTGCTCCTCCCGAAGGTCTTGAGCCGCTCTTTTCGATTTGTATTGGTTTCTTCTTGTTACCACTGTACGAATATTTGCTAATGCACAAGTGAGAAAGATGCTGAACGAGCGAGGAGGAACGCAGAAGTTTTCACTCTTATAATTCGATAGTCTACGAATTTGCACGAATATTTTCCAAATGGATATTTTGTTGACCGATCTGGTGATGTTATTGTGGTGAACTTGTTTATACGCTGGCCGATTGCCGTCTTGCGTTAGATATATACGTTGGCTTGTCATGGTTAACTGTGTATGTGACAACAACAAAAATTTGGTTGTTATTATCATCTTCATGCAGAACTTGCCCTTGTGAACAAAATATTGTTCAACATCAATTGTATCCGATTGAGTTCACAATTGTTCATGGTAAAAGATGTATTACATGTTGAATGAGTAAGTTCGTGAGAATAAGACAAAAGGTCATACCAGCAAAACGAAAGATAGTAAAATAACGTCGAAATTCAACACAGAACAATAAATCAACGACGACAGCGGCCAACGCAACGAATGTTTACAATTAACAACTATGTCATAAAACATGAAAAATTTCTTGGACCAAATTAGGGAAATGTTTGAATAAGTCCAAAAAACATTTAGTTTGAACGTTTATTTTAATGAATTCACTGATCGATATGAACTGATTTTTCTTTTGTTCAATGAACTTTTCATTCGCTAAATTTATCCAATTAGATCAACTATACTAATAAAACGTATATTCCATTGCAGGTTTAAAGGATGACACCGGCGTTTTGAAATGATGGTATATGCCGCAAAGACTGGAATAGATATCGATAATCAAGCCAATTTCTGCTAATTTCGTATTTGTTACTCTCATTTTTTCGTCTTATTAAATGTGCTTGTGCCAAAATTTTATCAATATTTACGTAAGATACAATGAACAAATTGGAGTATTCACGACGAAATGGTACTCAGAAAATTCGAATTACAAGTTAGTGTTTCAATTATGCATAGCCAAATTTATTATAATGACCATTTCTAACAACGCCATGTTTTCCCCTTTTATATCCTATGCAAAACCAAATCACAGTTCTATGTGCGCGAAATCTTGTCCGTCGAGATCTATTCCGTAAGTGTAACCATTGCTTCTATAATTTATCCACATTTTCATTGTTTTTATGAACCACTTGGAATTAAGTCCAGAATTTTTTTTATCGAAAAAGAAGAGTACATAATTGATTTCAACCATAAAGAAACACAATGTAATGTACAATTCATGTAACGGTAATGAAAAAAGTGGAACCGGGTGGTTTCACAGTATATGATGAAGATGAATGCTTGTGTTTAATTTAAATTATTCAATAACAATAAGTTAAGTAAAAACGAAATGCAGAAAATAAATTGTATGATCACCCATGCGGCAACATGCTCACTTACGATTTCTGGCTCTTTCCATCTTTTTCCGACTCGATTCATACCATTTTGAAACGAATAATAAATAGCCATTACAAAAGATAGTTCGAAAACACATTTTGCTTTCATTGTTGTTTGATTACCTAATTAATATTACGCTATTCGATATTTCTTATGTACTTTAAGTGAACGTTGAAAAATGATGGGAGGGGGAGAGAGAGAGAGAGAGAGAGAGAGAGAGAGAGAGAGAGAGAGAGAGATCGGTTGTATTAGCTAGAGAGAAAGGTAGCATTAAAAGAATTCGTAAAGAATTTGTTACGATTGTTCGTTTCAAAGTTTGGTTGACTGTGCACATCAAATTTATATGCAATTGACATTTTATTGCTCAACATCAAATAAAAATGAATTGCAAAGAAGGAGCAACCACACAGGCTTCATTTCCAATGTCTATTTCGTTCCATTTATCAATTGCAGGTTTTCCTGATCCGTTCGTGAAAGTTTCTGTGGATGGCACTGGTCAAGTGTACACCACCGAACCATCGAAAGCAACACTATATCCTAAATGGAATACTCATTATGATTTGTTTTTGGGTCGAGGCGATAGTATCACAATTTCGGTATGGAATCATCGCAAAATTCACAAAAAGCAAGGCGGAGGATTTTTGGGATGTGTCCGAATTAGCGCCGCTACCATTCAACGATTAAAAGACACCGGATGTAAGTATTGGCTTTTTTAATTGCAAGTGTTTGAAACGAAATTGATTTATGTTTTCTTTTTAGACCAACATCTGGACCTAAATAAATCATCTGCAGATGACATTGATCCAGTGAAAGGACAGATTATTGTTTCCTTAATGTCTCGTGATGGTAAGTGATTTTCAATAATGATCGTTCTTAAATGACATAACACTTAGCAGCTCCGTGACGCCAGCCCCCCCCCCCCCGGTTCCAAAATTTAAATCCGAGAACAGTTTCGTGTTCTACGCAATTTCTGCTGATTACTGCTCGCTCCGCAGAATTTCTGACGAGCAGTAATTGCCCGAAGTTTCGGAAAAATCGATTTTTCGCATATTTAAAGGTTTTGCTCCAAAAATTAATTCCAAACTAAATTTTAAACATTTTCATGATCTAAGGGCTGATAATAAAAGATCTAGAGGCCCTCTAATTTCTGCCCGGTCCCCACAATTCCTGCTCCAACCGGTGACGAGCAGTAATTGTCCAAAGTTTCGAAAAAATCCATGAAAATCGACTTTTCGCATATTTGAAGGTTTTGCCCCAAAAATTAATTCCAAACTAAATTTTAAACATTTTCATGATCTAAGGGCTGATAATGAAAGATCTAGAGGCCCTCTAATTTCTGCCTGGTCCCCACAATTCCTGCTCTAACTGGTGACGAGCAGTAATTGTTCAAAGTTTCGAAAAATCCATGAAAATCGATTTTTTGCATATTCGAAGGTTTCACGCCAACAGTCAATTCGAAATGAAGTTTTCAATATTTTGATGACCTGGTGGCTGATATTGAAAGGTCTAGATGCCCACTAATTTCTGCTTGCTTCTCAGAGTTCCTGCTTCAACCAGTGACGAGCAAGAATTCGACGAAAATTGGAAAAAAAATTTATGAAAATCGATATCACAGTGCAACAAAGTTTAGGTAGGTCCATGTCACCAGCACCGCCAGTGCTGTTAAACCATAATATGTTATAATAAGTGCTCAAATAGTGCTGGCAGATACCACTTCCAGATTGCAGAAATCTTGTCTAGTGGCTGAGCACTGATCGTCAATATTTTTGAAAAAGTAGATTTTCGGTACATTCCCATGGCAAGTACATGAAATCGAATTTTTTTCGTATCAATGTAGCTCTATGACTCCTGTTCGGAAAAGTGAATCACTGTTTTACAATTGAGTCATGAAGTGAGTCACAATATAACTCATAATTGAATGAGTCATAATCGGAAAGTCATGACTTTCTGTTTTGCGCACCAATACTATACGTAGATTTTTCATGATTTTCGGTATACTCACGCATTCAATGAGTCATATTCATATCAATTCTGATTCTTTGACTCGACTGACTCATTGCCTCTAAAATGGAGTAAGAATCTAATTCGTTTCTTATGACTCATGAAGAGCCAGCCGGTCACATGAAGTTTGACTTACTTTGGACAATGAATGACTTCGATTATGACTCATTTCGATTACTCACTTCATGACTCAATTGTAAAACACTTCACTTTTCCGAACAGGAGTCATAGAGCTACATTGATACGAAAAAAATTCGATTTCATGTACTTGCCATGGGAATGTACCGAAAATCTACTTTTTCAAAAATATTGACGATCAGTGCCCAGCCACTAGACAAGATTTCTGCAATCTGGAAGTGGTATCTGCCAGCACTATTCGAGCACTTATTATAACCTATTATGGTTTAACAGCACTGGCGGTGCTGGTGATATGGACCTACCTAAACTTTGTTGCACTGTGATATCGATTTTCATACATTTTTTTTCCAATTTTCGTCGAATTCTTGCTCGTCACTGGTTGAAGCAGGAACTCTAAGAAGCAAGCAGAAATTAGTGGGCATCTAGACCTTTCAATATCAGCCACCAGGTCATCAAAATATTGAAAACTTCATTTCGAATTGACTGTTGGCGTGAAACCTTCGAATATGCAAAAAATCGATTTTCATGGATTTTTCGAAACTTTGAACAATTACTGCTCGTCACCGGTTGGAGCAGGAATTGTGGGGAGCGGGCAAAAATTAGAGGGCCTCTAGATCTTTCATTATCAGCCCTTAGATCATGAAAATGTTTAAAATTTAGTTTGGAATTAATTTTTGGAGCAAAACCTTTAAATATGCGAAAAATCGATTTTTCCGAAACTTCGGGCAATTACTGCTCGTCACCGGTTACAGCAGAAATTCTGCGGAGCGAGCAGTAATCAGCAGAAATTGCGTAGAACACGAAACCGTTCTCGGATTTAAATTTTGGAACCGGGGCTGGCGTCACTGAGCTACACTTAGCTACGCATCAGTTTGGACTAAACTCTTATAGTATAGGATCGATGCGGATCAATGCGAAAACTATACTAGAAAAAAATGTTTTTTATACACAACAATTTATCTTATGAGGCTTTTCCAACAACTGAAGTGATCGATGATCATGGCTCGAACTATATTAACCCTTCATCACGTTACATACAGTCATGGACTAAATTGAGCGTACGACTGCCAGAAAAATGTATCGCGGACTATTTCATGAACCTAATTTATTTTTTTCAATCAATTCTTTGCACTGTTTGTGGCGTAATTATGTGAACTATTGGGTCTGGGAATTAGTTTTGTCGATTTTTTTAAATTTTCAAACATTTATTTGAATACCAAAATGAAATTACATTTCAATCAAAATATTGTCCATCGGAAGCGATGACCTTCTGCCACAATGTGAGCAATTGACGGATGCCTGCCTTAAAAAATTCCTCATCTTTTGAGGCTATAAATGCATCGAGCCAATTTTGGATTTCTTCAACTGAAGAGAACCGCTCTCCGTCCATATGGTTTTGCATCGATCGAAACAAATGGTAGTCGGAAGGAGCCAGGTCTGGGCTATACGGGGCGTGAGCCAAAACTTCCCATCCGCTATTTTCCAAGTAGTTTTTGACCGATTTCTCAATGTGTGGCCGAGCATTGTCATGTAGGAAAATCAATGTCTCTTTTCTGGTCTCCCATTTCGTGCGTTTTTCTTTGATTGCTTGTTTCAAACGTATCAATTGTTGTCGGTAGAAAGGCCCATCGATGGTTTGACCACTTCTCAGCAGCTCATAATACACCACTCCCTCCTCATCCCACCAAATAGACAGCATTACCTTGTCGCCGTGAATTTCTTGTTTTGGCTGTGATGTTGCTGGTTGGCCGGGCTTAACATACGATGCTTTGCGCTTGGGGTTATCGTAATGAATCCATTTTTCGTCACCAGTGACAATTCGATACAGAAAACCTCTTTTTTTGTGCCTTGCGAGCAGCATTTCGCATGTCACTAAACGCCTTTCAGCTTGCGCTGGCGTCAATTCATGTGGTACCCAATTTGACAACTTGCGAATGAAACCAAGGGCCCTTAAACGATATCCAACAGTGCTTCGGTCAACATTCAATGCTCTGGCAAGCTCATCTTGAGTTTGACTCGAATCTTCATCGAGCAATGCCTCCAATTCCGCATCTTCAAACTTTTTTGGCTGGCCGGGACGTTCCTTGTCTTCCGTGCTAAAATCACCACTTTTGAACCGTGAAAACCACCGTTCACATGTACGTTCCGATAGAGCATGCTCACCATAGGCTTCCACCAACATTCGATGCGCTTCAGCCGCAGTTTTCTTCAAATGAAAGCAAAAAATTAATGCTTGCGGGAAATGTTGCTTTTTCGGTACAAAATTTGACATATTTAAGGCGCAAAAAAAAATGTTTATCCAAACTTCGATGAAATGATAGATGATGATTTTTGTAGTTTGACACTAGACCACTCATGTGAAAAAGAAAAAAGTATTGCCCGATACAACCATGCAAAGTTACGCCATCTTTTGAAAAATCGACACGATTAATTCCCAGACCCAATAATAGTAACCGAGAGAATTTTGATTTTTTTTTTTGGATTTTGTGGTTTTTATTGAAAAATGTACTTTTTTCAATTTCCATGAATTTTCTCTATTTAAACAAATATTAAACGTCGGACCGTACGCTCAATTTTGTCCAGCACAAAAATGACATTCATCTACATTTTTCAATAAAAATCACAAAATCCAAACAAACAATTCAAAATTCTCTCGGTTACTATTAGTTCACATAATTACGCAACAAACAGTGCAAAGAATTGATTGAAAAAAATAAATTAGGTTCATGAAATAGTCCGCGATACATTTTTCTGGCAGTCGTACGCTCAATTTAGTCCATGACTGTAACTTGATACTCATATTAATTATAATGATGAAAATTGCTTTTTTCTTCTAAAATCATAATTTTCATAAAAAATCATTCAAAAAAATGTGGAAAGGAATCGATTTCGGCGTGGTAGGATGATGCGTTCAACTCGAGATATTTTCCATCCAAAATAATAAAATAACATATATTTATGAGTGTTCATTATGAAAGTTTGGATTACGTATGTAATTCATTTTGTATATCCATCATCCAAAAAATTACCTCAATCATAAACATTTACTTATTATAGGACCGAGTGGTAGTGGTAATCCGTTAGCAATTGTTGGACCAGGTGGTGATATTTTGGGGCCAGCAGACGAACGCGAGTCTGTCTCACCAACACAAGCATCAAACGAGCAGCCGGTGAGAACTAAATGATAACTTTTGAACTAATCGATGGCAATATGAAATTTGTGCTCTTTTTGTCGTCAGTTATCTGCACAACGAGAGCGACTCAGTGAGAATGAAGCCTCTTCAACAACACCCACCTGCACAAGTCCTGTAACGCAAAATTTCAATTTAGCCAAAGGCTCAAATTTACCTGTCGATGAAAGTCAGCTAATTAGCAGGAGGCATTCGTCAGAAATTTTAGTTAATTTAGGGAACGAAAATCATAATCAAAACCGCTCAAACGAAGCATCAAATGGGTAATTATTTTACTCTAAATCTTTCGATATGATTTCCTAGTGAAATCCTATTTTGTCTCCTTGAAATAGAAATCCACACTGTGTGCGACAATTATCGGCTGATTCGATAACACCAACACATACAATGGCCGAAACGAGTACATCGAGTGGAAGTCAAGTGAGTCAACACACACAAGTACCGCCAAATGAATCCACAAAACGTTCACAGCATGGACAACAGATAGGAAATTTAGTCGGTGATATGAGTGCAGTAGCCTTGGATAGTAATAATAGTCAGCAAAAGACATCTCAACAGCAATCTCGACCAAATCAAACAACACTCGGTAATCAGAATATTGGCACCAGCACCGGTAACACAAACGGAACACAACAAACGCAGACAAATTGGCAGCAAACCAGCCTAAATGCCGCTAATGGCAATATCAAAACCATTTCGTCGGAGAATTCGACAGGTTAGTTAGAGGTTCTAGCTTGGGAATATTTAATGTTTGATTCTGTCTTCAATATTATTAGGTATTAGCTTCACGACTTTCCAAAATTAAATAGTAGTCTGTCCGTAGTATCATCAAATCAATAAAATGTGAAATGACCTTCCTACAGTAGTGTTGGTGTCTGTATTCGACCATACATTTATTTTCGATGCATTCCGTTTACATAGTAATACAAAACAAAAGAATGAAAATTATCAATTTACCCATGTTTTTGAAAATTGAATTAATCAATTTGTTACTTCAGTCGAGAGAGTTCTAACGGCATACACATTAACAAAACCAAAAATTAAAACAAATTGACTTAGAACACACCGCACCGGTAGTCCCATCCAGTAGTCCCATATTCGCAATTAAAAAAAACACAATGAATATTTAATTTCACAGTGTCTCCATCGAGATCGGTTGCCGAATCAACAGACACTCCAAGAGCTATTGATGTACATCAGAGGCCGCGAAGATCCTCACGTAATTCAGAAGATTCGTCAAATCGTCGATCCTCAAGACAATCAACATCGAATGCGGCGGCTGTTAGTTTAGTTCGAAGCGGTGCTCAATTCGCTCGTCCTTCATTGAATCTGCCGCATGGATACGGTAATTCTAATATTCATATTCAATTTTATTTCAGTAAATTAGTATTTTATTAGTAATTTAAAATTACAAATTTCAACTATCGTAATCTTATTATTTTAAACTATAGAAATGCGAACAACACAGCAAGGACAAGTGTATTTTTATCACATACCATCTGGTGTTTCAACGTGGCATGATCCTCGTATACCTCGTGATTTTGACTCACAAAATATAGCTTTAGAATCATTGGGACCTCTGCCAGCCGGATGGGAGCAACGAAAAACGAATACCGGTCGAGTGTATTATGTGGACCACAATAATCGTACGACACAGTTTACGGATCCACGTCTGAATGGTCACATAATCAATATGATTCGTCGTCAAAATCAAGCGAGTGCGGCGAATAGTCCATGTATATCATCCAATGGTTCAGCAAGCGCACAACAGCAACAACAATCAGCCGCACACAGTGCATCGAATGGAACGCGTACATGCAGCAGCAGCAGTAATACCATCAGCAGCAGTGCGAGCAACAGCAACAATACCAGTAATAGCACAACAAATGATTCGTCTCGCATTTCAGCAACAAATACATCACAATTACCTGTACCTGCTGATCTACCACAGAGTTTGCTGGAAAGTTCCGAACTTTTGCCAAAGTATCGCCGAGATTTAGATGTGAAATTACGAAATCTAAGATCCGAATTACAAACATTGCAACCACAATCTGGCCACTGCCGGTTGGAAGTATCACGCGCTGAAATATTCGAAGAAAGTTATAGACTGATTATGAAAATGCGTCCAAAAGATATGCGAAAGCGTCTTATGGTGAAATTTCGCGGTGAAGAAGGTCTGGATTATGGTGGTGTTGCAAGAGAATGGCTGCACCTTCTATCACGCGAAATGCTCAATCCACAATATGGCCTATTTCAATACAGTAGAGAAGACAATTATACACTTCAAATTAATCCTGATTCAGGTAGATTCTTTGATTTGACTTACGGTTGAATGTTCACATCTTTTCAAGAAGCTGCTCTCTGGGAAAAGCCAGAAACCACCTTCATAAAGGAAGTCGGAACACTTTTTACACTCCCAATACTCATATGTAAAATAAATAAAACGATTCTTTATTTTTACATTAGGTATAAATCCGGATCATTTGACCTATTTTCATTTTGTGGGTCGCATACTAGGTATAGCAGTTTTCCATGGCCACTGTCTGGATGGTGGTTTCACGACACCGTTTTATAAACAAATTCTCAATAAATCAATTACATTGAGCGATATCGAAGGTGTTGATTCGGAACTACATCGAAGTCTCACATGGATGTTGTACGTATGAAATGCATTATAAAAAGACAACCGAAAAATATATATAACTCATCTCATGTATCAACTTATTGCAGGGAAAACAAAATAACTGGAATCATTGATTCAACATTTAGTGTTGAAAATAATAGCTTCGGTGCATTAGTTGTACACGAATTAAAAGCAGGGGGCTCAAGTATAGCTGTAACCGAAGAAAACAAACGTGAATATGTCAAATTATACGTAAACTATCGATTTATGCGCGGGATAGAGCAACAATTTCAATGGCTGCAAAAAGGTCTGTAAAATGGTATTTTTGGTTAATAATCAAAAATAGTCTAGCAGAAAATGTCGAATTTTAGGTTTTTGTGACTTGATACCGATGCAATTGCTGCGACCGTTTGACGAACGTGAATTGGAACTAATCATTGGCGGCATTTCTGCAATTGATGTTCAGGATTGGAGGGCAAATACACGACTAAAGCATTGTACCCCAGAAACTCCACAAGTGCAATGGTTTTGGCAGGTTTGTATCGTTTCAAACATTTCGGGAGTTGGAAAAATTTGAAAGAAATTTTGGAAATGAAAACTCATGCGAAATATTAAAAATTTCAGACAGTCGAGTCGTATACGACGGAGATGCGTGCACGTGTACTTCAATTTGTGACTGGATCGTCACGTGTGCCATTGCAAGGATTCCGGGCACTACAAGGTTCGACGGGTGCTGTTGGTCCGCGGCTATTCACCATTCACTTGACAGCCGATGTTCCAACGCAAAATCTACCAAAAGCGCACACTTGTTTCAATCGCATCGATTTACCACCATATGAAACTCAACAACTTCTTTACGATAAATTAACACAAGCCGTAGAAGAAACATGCGGTTTTGCTGTCGAATAGGCCCATTCGGCAATTTCAAATAAATGCGATCGAACGAATGAATGAAAATATTTGTAATATTTTTTGTCAATTGTTCCATCAACTGTTTCAATAATTGCCTAGAAATACGTTTGCCGATTTTAACAAACAATCTGACAATGTAGCCATTTGCCGCATTGTGCATCCGATTGTCAAAATGGACATGCAGCATATATATATATCTATTCGTGAGACGTAAAAGAATATATGTTTTTTCAATTTATATTTTCTAAACCGCAAGTATGTTTTCTGTTGATTCTGTCAGCGTTAAAAGAGAGTATGTTGACATGCCTTGGGTTGTTTGGGATTTTCGCGGTTTTCGCGGAACTGATAAGAGAATGCGACTTTGTATATTCGGCAAATTTGTAGTACTTCAAGTCTTCTATATGTTTTTGTTGCAGCTAATTATGTTCTATCAGTTGAGCTCAGATTGCGCACAAAGAACTTTTTTTCTTGAAATTTTTCACTTTTTCACGTCGCATATAAGAGATAACTATTTGCAGCAAAGTTATAATACAAAAACTTGAGTGCTACAATTTCGTTGAAGACAGGCATTATTTCTTATCAGTTCCGCAAATGTGAAAAACCGGGGCAACCATCCGAAAAACAACAATGAACACACTATTCGGTTTACTATTGTTAAATGCAATGAAAGACCAATGTGAATTTTGATGTATTTGTAATGTACGGCATTAGATTGTTGAAAAATCACAATATATTAATTGCATTAGTCTCTACTTCCGTTTATTGCTTTGAAGTTGAAAAAACTTACGTTCTTCTCCGTCACCAATAGAAGAATATAAACATGAAACATAATTGGAACCAATTGAATTGTGAGGAACGATTTTACTACGTAAAATTTAGATTTTTTTCAAGTGATTTTGTGTATATTTATAGAAATAATGAGTAGACATTTTTTAGGGTCACTATTGTTATATTATAACCATAAAAACGACGAAATTGTAGATTATTGTTAAAAAAAAACTATTGATGGAAAAAGAGGATACTTTTGCACAAACGGTCGACTAATTCGTTTAAACTATAGGACCGCAAAATCAGTCATCGTAAACCTCTGAACACAAATCAGAATTGACAAATCAAAAACAACAATTACGATTAATAAAAAAAAATTGGAAAAAAATTAAATAAAACGAATCATTCTTGCAAAAACATGGCATATCATTCTAATTGCGTACTGTTTCGTTGTACAAAAGACAAGAGGCCACATTGAATTTTTTTACAATTGCATCATCGATCAATTATTATCGACTGAACCAGTTCTGTGGACAACGCTTCTTCCGTAAGGACTGTTCGGTGAACACGTTGAATCAGTGACTGTGCGTTATTTTCAAATCCAATATATAGACAAAGGACTAATCATGAATTTATGAAATCTTTTATACTTCTTCTATTTCTCTGAGGTTAATAGAATCGATATTACAATTTTTAGTGTATATTTTTTGCTTCTGTTTTCTATGTATTTTTGGAGTATTCGAATGCATCGATTTCATGTCACAGTCCAATTATTCTGCATTCTTTTAGATATCCTTTTTTACATAGGGGTATTTATTAAGTTTTTAAAAAAATTACGAATGAGACACATACAAAACATACGTCCTTGAAATTCTAAAATAATAATTTTTGATCTTTACCTTATCCATACGAAAATATGCCGTTTTTGTAAGTTCATGATTCACAGAAAACAATGATTTTTTGAAGCAAAAATTTATTTAAAAATATTTACGTTTTATTTTTTGTGTTAACAATAAACTGGTTTGTTGACAACATTTTTACATACAGTGTTTTAATTTCGATGTGTAAAAACTGTTCTGAAGCCATAATAGAATCAATGTGGGCTTACTAGTCGGCTTTCTTTTTATTTCGATTACGATTTTTAACGTTTGATGTTTCATAGAAATTGGTACCAATCTTCTTCCGTTTTTGTGCTCGTTCCACAGCGCGCCGTTCTTTGGCGGTTGTTTTCTCGGGTGTCTTTTTGTCTTGTGGTTTGATATTTTCAACATTGAATTCACCGCTGCTAGCTTTTGCTTTGACTATTGGACTCTTTTTTGGATTGACAGTTAGCTTTGTTGGAATTTTTCGTGCCTTTCTGCGAACTACTTTGTTTAAAGTTTCGTCGTATTCATCTTCTGAATAAAAATCACTAATGCCGGACGATTCATCATCTTCCTTAACTTTTCGTTTACTAGCTAATCTTCGTTCTTCGCGTTGTTTCTCGAGCAATTCGAGATCAATTTTTTCTAATGCACGAATATCATCCTTTTCGAATTCCAAACCGACACGAATCTTACGGAAATCTTGTACTTGTTGCAGCTCTCGACCTTTCTTAACGGATTCGCTTACTGATATCTTATCCGATTGATCATCAGCGAGTGTCGATTGTGTTATATTCGATTCATTTTCTTTGGATTTTGGCACTTCGTATTCTTCGGGCGCAACATAATAAGGTAGTTTACCACGTTGAAAGTCATTGAGCATCATTTTCGCAACAGCTCGTACATCTGGATCACCACCTTTTAACAATTTTCCGCTGCGTTTTGCCAACTGCTCCAAGAAATCAATGTGCGATTCCCATTTATTGATGTGATAGGTCTTTCTGAGGTATTCGTCGCGAACGCGCTTCAAAACTGTTTCCACATAATCTTCTGGGCAAGTGACCAATTCAACGCGAACGACACCCTTCAGTACTTTTTCGGTGTCAGTTTCGGCCGATGGATAGACGACACCCGGACAATCGATCAGGAAAATACGTCGCATCAATGTAATGTATTGCCATACTTTTGTTTCGCCAGCAATTGGAGCAACATTACACACCTTTTTGCTTCGAAGTGCATTGATAATTGACGACTTTCCGGTGTTTGGATAGCCGATGAAACCAACACTTATCTGTTTTTTATCGATATGCAATTTGCCCAATTGACGCAACAAATTGATCAAGGATCCTTTACCGAATGGATGTGTTAGTGACGCATGGAAAGCGATTGTTGGATATTCAGCACTTAAAATAGCCACCCAACGCTGTGTCACCCATGTTGGGATCAAATCGACTTTGTTGAGTATGAAAAATAAATGTTTGTGAGGTTTTTCCTTGCGCAAAAACTCCTCAATGTATTTCGACCGAGTTCCCATCGGATCTCTGGCGTCAAGAACTTGCAATATAACATCAGACGAATCAATAACTTTGTGCAATTCATTCCAAATCCGTTTACTTTGACCAGCACCAAATACCCAATCACGAACAACATCCTTCGAATCGGCTTCATCTTTTACCAAATCAACATCTTTATTCTCATCGTATTTGTCTGATGCATCTAGTGCGTTTTTGGTCATGTCCTCCAAATCACGAACCTTAATATTTGGTCGTTTTCTCTGCTTCTTCGGGCCAAATGTGGTGTTAAAACTCTCCGTGTCGAGCAAATGAACGCGTTGATATTTAGCGGTTTCATTCAACAAACTGATCGGTAATTGTGATGGTTTCATCACCACTTGATATGGGTCTTTGATTGCTTTACCCATTTCCTCTTGGAATTTTTGCAGGGCATTTTGAGATATGACACGTGAATTACTAAACCATTTTGGTGTTGGTTCAACACGAGCCATTGTGCCAGATGATAAACGCCCTTGGAATGGTGCTGGTGTTATGATTTTTCCACTTGGGTCACGCTTTGCCTTGAAGTTTCTATACATTTGCAATCGTTTGATGGTGCCTTTCGTACGTGGCTTTGAAACACCTTTTAATCCGCTTGTTAATCGCTCTGGATTCATCGAATGGCCACTACGATTGAAGCCCTCTTTACGAGGCGCTCCAGCTGTGGATCGGACTTTTGGCATATTTCACGCGTTTTCTGCTATAATTTCAGTATATTTGGCAAATTTAGTAAATCAATGTATTTGAAATATTCAATAAGAAGTTATAAAAGAAAATCGTCCAAACATACCTTTTCCAATAAAAACAGTAAATGATTTACTTCAAACTATGAATCAAAATTGGAATTTAATCAATTCAGATGTCAACAACCATGGAAAATGGATAAAACTCTTATGCACATTAAAGAATGTGTGTACACCATGCGGTTAGCGTTGTTATTTATTGTTGTCCCACTATATTGAGGTTATGTGCACACGTGACTTTCAGTTGAGAAAAATGACATTTCATTAGGTGATTTGACAGTTGAATTTTCGTGTGAGTGTTCAAAAATACGGGAGAATCAATACAAAATACACATCGCACCAATGCATGTGAAATTCTAATTTTTATTTATAAAATGTACTCGCTTTTAAATAGATCCACCTAACTTGAGCTCGATAAGTATTAGTCAAATCGCCAACATACATAATCAACGCGGTTCTTCTTGCTATCTTGTCTCGCGATTTGCTTTCGATTAGCACTCACACAAATCATTCACACTCGCTCGATTTGCTTGCGCTGTGTTCTTATAAATTAAGTGAGATTTGTAACAGAAAGAAAAATGAGTGAACTTGATGAAAAGTACGATATAATTGACGAAACAACCCCTCCAAATGCTCCTTTATCTGCGAAATACAAAAGGTCAGTTTGCCAATGAAAATTGAATGCATTTTAATATTTACCGTTTGAAAATTGATTTTTGACATAACCATGTGTTTTAATAAATCAATGCTCTAATTAGTCTCATTTCAATCTTATCTATAGGAGTTTTGCATATTATACCATTCAGGAGAGGCTACCTATTATTCTGACAAAAGTGATTGACCAAACAATTCGCGATAAGGATGAAATAGCTGATATTTTCAATGGAGAGGTAAATGACTAAGTAAAACTCAGAACAGAGAATGAAAAAAAGAAATTTAAAAATGAAATGAAGATCGTTATCACAAATCTTACATTCATAGGGGATCAAGGATGATACCAAAGAAGTTGTTGGTAATATTTCACAACTGAAATACGAACTACAAACCAACAAAGAAATAACGCCATTAGATGGAGAAGGTAATTTTAATTAGAAGAATAAAAAACAATGTAACAAGTGAGAGCGATTGACTGCGATTATATTGCACAATACTTTTGTACTATTTTTATTAGAGTTTGACAAGGATGTATGGAATGCATTTATTGAGCAGCTAGGTGAAAACAATACATATTTTTCCGTTAAATGGCTCTACGCTGAATGTTATCTATATCGTCGTTTGAAATCGATTTTCGAAAAAAGGTGCGTTTCATATATCACTTTCATAAACCGTTTTCATTTATATTTTTCGAACAAATCGAAAAAAATCAATCACAATTTGATTTGAATGGTTTTTTTGCATTTGCAGCCCCTTGTTAAAAACCTACGACTGTTTTCGAAAACAAAAAGATGCTGCGTTCATTACATCGTTGGATGCTATCAGTCAAGTACTTCAGCATATAACCGAGTTTTATAACAAGCATGCCAAAGCCGAAGAATCAACAATACTTGAGCTTGAAAGCTTTTTCAAAATATTGCTACGAGTGAGTCGGCTCAATTTATAATTGCTTCTATGAAAATATGTAACATTTATATTTTTTAGATCAACTTGTGGGGTAATCGATGCGATTTATCTATTTCTAATGGTCGCGAAGTCAAACAGGCAGGAAACCCATTTGAAGAGCTTGGTTCGTTTGAATCGTGCATACTACATGATCAATCGCAAGATATTTGGGATTGCTTGAAATCTGGTGGAAAATCCTGTAGTATTGATATTATTATGGATAATGCTGGATACGAAGTGTTCACTGACTTTTTGATTGCCGATTTCATTCTTCGATATGATTTTGCAAATAAAATTCGGTTTCACTGTAAAGCCATACCGTGGTTCATTAGTGATGTCGTGTACCGTGACTTCAATTGGACCATTCGGAAATTGACTGAAAGTGATACAAATGTAGTGAGATCATTTGGAGAACGATTGCAACAATACGTGGACGCAGGTCGAATTCAATTACAACCGACCGATTACTTTTGGACGAGTCCATATGAATTTCAAGCGATGCAATCCATTGCACCAAAATTATATGCAAGCCTTGCAACCAGCCATTTATTGATATTTAAGGGTGACCTCAACTATCGTAAACTTTTGGCAGACACAAATTGGCCATTTGATTCCCATTTTGTTGATGTACTCGGTGTTTTTCGTCCAACGAATCTATGCACCTTGCGAACCGTTAAAGCTGATTTAATTTGCGAGTTACCCAATGGAATAGCAGATGAACTATCTAAATTGGATCCAATGTGGATGGAAACGGGCAAATATGGAGTTATGCATTTTGCACCTAAGATTTAAGTACTATGCAATTTTTTTGTTTTTGCTTCATTTAATTTGATGGATACAAATAAAGACGCAATTTGAATTACACGTTCGTTTGAGAGACAAAAGAAAACGCTATTCAAATAGATTTGAACAATTTTAAATTAACTGAACGTTTCGAATATTTTATTGAAGAATTTAAATACATCACAAAAATACAAGTGTCGGAATATAGCCATTTGTTGCGTTTCGTTTGTTTTATTTCCATTCGGCAATCACACTGTTTCCGTCCTGAATCGAATAATAATCGAGCGTTTTATTGAGACTATCCATATCGACAACAATATTATTCTCATTGTCAACGTATTTCAAAACTGCGGTTCCCTTAAGATTGGACTTTTGGTCACCCAATAATTTTGCAACTAACTGTTGGAGCGTCAAAACAGTTATATTTCGTGAGATTCGTTTTATTGTTGCTTGGTGTGTATTGCCATTAATTAATTTTAGTGTGACAAATTTAGAGACTTTTGGTACGGTGGAAACGATATCGTCTGGTTGCCCATACTCTGAAAAAGATGAACCATAAATTATCATTTAGTTATTATTCAGTAGTGAAATTGGAATTAAACTGTTTTTTGGTACTTACTTTCGATTAGTTTTGAATAAACTCGGCATCGTCTCAGTAAGTTCGTGCGTAATTCATTGTTTTCCTTACTCTTAACCCAATCGACGCTGTATCGCTTCCAAATATCATATTCGGCGCCTCGTCGTTCCGTTCCATTTATTTGTTTCTTATTCAAAACCGTGAGATTGGCGATGTGACCGATTGCACAGGTGAACGTTTCCTCATAACCAATATTATCGCTTATGGTAATTGATAGATTCGAAAGAGCTTTGAGTTTATCTAATTCGTTAAATATCATTGCTTGATTGATCAAGTGGTTATCGTTTAGGTTCAACTCTTCAAGGCTTGGGAAAATGTCCAAATATTCATTCCAATCACATTCTGGTAGCTGGATCGTCTCAATATGCGTAGCAATGCAATAAAGCGTTTGCAGTGTTTTGATGTTGCCTAGTTTAAGGACTTCACTGAAATAATTCAACGGATTTCCTTTTATATCGAGAAATTTCAGATTGCGAAAGATTTTTGTTGTGTCTGGTGGTTGCAAAAAACTGATTGAGTTCTCTGCAATTGAAATTTGTTCGATATCCGGCCACAATCGAGCGATATGCATTACATTTGACCATTGTCGCAAGTTACACCGCCGCAAATTTATATTCTTCAAATGGCGAAAGTACTTTTCAAGTTCAAAAATTTCTTCCTCTGTTGGTAGCCGCAAACGATTTCGCCTTTATAAGAACACAATTGATCAATAGGTTCAATGCTCAAGAGAGTTTCCGTAAAAATTTCATACTTACGTTAGATCTAAATGCTCTAGTTTTGGCAATTGCTTCACAATATCAGCTAGTACATTCCATGTTGGTATGAGAGATGCAGTCAAATCGAGTACAAGCAAATTAGCAAATGTTGATAAATCACCTGCACTATTGATATTCGAATTTGGAAGCGAAACTGTTGTCAATTCCTTGCGGTGACTGATGGAAGAAATATGAGAAAAACAGTCCATATATTCATTAATGAGAACAAATTTACATAGGAAAGGTTTCTGTTCAACGTTGAAACAATTATCTAATTACCTTTCTTTGTCTTGTGTTCGATTGTCGCTAACAAATTCGAAAAGAGATGCTTTGATTTGTCGTTGGGTGGCTTTCAGCAATTCGTTATCCAAAATCGCATCGAACATATATCGGCATTCGATAGCTGTACGCATATTTTCAAATTCAGCAATTTTTCCAGGTCGTATCATTGACCCAGATGTTGGATAACTAATGGATTCAATTAGACAGTAGGAAAAAAACATACGTCACAAGACGCAAGGATGAGTTGTGATTCACACACAATATGTATGTAATGCAGTCTACTCGACTAGTATATAAATTGTTTGTATACTAATGCAAACGAACACATGCGCAAACATAAAGATTGCGTTTGTCTATTTCATATGGACCAAAACGCATCCACAGACAGGTCATACGAATGGAGTGCAGAGATTTACCTAGTTTCGAAGTACTTAACGCCATCAACAGTCCCGTTATGCTTTCCACGCTCCGGATTATCCCATTCAACACCAATATATAAGCCTGTGTGACCGTCGACCTACATTTCCAAAGAAAAGGGAAACGCCGATATAATCACTGTCAACAGCAACAACAAATGTATAATATCGAAATCACATCAAACGTTTATTTACTGCAGAATTGCATATGAAAATGGGTTCATTTTTGGGTCATCGCAAAACGAATTTACACTTGATTAGTGGGAATTTGACCAACATCGAATAGGGATATCATATGAGCTTGATGAATTTTGATAGGAATCTTTTCAAAATTCCTGGAACATGCCCATTTTGATTCTATACCCTTTCCAAAGAAATATCAATATAAATTTGAAAATATTCGACATATTCATGCCTAGTCATTCCATTCAAAATTTTGCTTTATTTTAGTGAACCCTTGGATCTTTTTTGTTGGATATTGTATGGAATACTTTGGATCAAACGAATTTAGTTTTGAGGCCCTGTTCCAAATACTTCCATTTGTGTGGATTTCTAATATTTCTGGTATTTCTTTATACAATAGTGTAAATGTATTCCGAGTAGTTTTTTTTTTGTCAAAGTAGTTTTTTTTTTGACCCAGAAATTTATTCAATTGTCTCTAGATTTGCATATGGATTAGGGCCTTATTCTTGGCAACTTTTACTCTTTTGAGTATTGAAACCACAATGTATAAAATGTGCCAATCTATCTTACCTCTCCTATGTATTTGATGGTGGCCAGGTCATTGTCGCCATATCGGATGCGTGCTCCAACTTCCAAATCACTTATGTCGACTCGGTTACTCATGAGGTTACAGCAATGAGAACAACGGCCTACCATGCTCAAAGAATCCTATGATTGTTGTATTTAATCTCTGCGGAATTGTTTCTTCCGTCTCACGGTTGAGAATTGTGGCTTCAACTTTGATCAATCGATGGACGATGTAAAAAATATTCAGCACACTAGATTTCCAGAATTTCGATGTGATTTGTTGTTTTCTAAAATTAGTGACATCGATCAATTTTGTTTTTCCGTTTTACTGATTTATTTGATTAAAATCCGAGTTTCAAATGTCGATCTCGAAACAAATGTCTGCAGAATCACAAAGTATTTTCACATTCCAAAATTGGAACTCGATGTAAAAAATCAAGCTCCCACGGCAAAATAAAAAAAAACGAATAGGATTGAATGAACGAAGGGCAGACGTGTTTTGGTGTTTTGCGCGTTGAATTTTTTTACTTGTCAAATCGCAAAGCAAGTAATCCTTTATTTCTCTTGCGTCCACTTTGCTTCGATTCTTTGGATGGATAGAGGAGAAAGAGAGCAAATGAATAATGTGGTGTAAGCTCACATGTGTTTACTTGAAATGTTTTCGAACTTCGAATCCTGATGCACATCGAACACTGAAATTGTGATCTTGTTCGTTGAATACATTACCCACACAAACTTGGATGGAATCACTTCTGCACTAGGATAAAGAGAAGAAGAAAACCACACACAGAGCATACACATGTAAAGCACACCAATTTGTTTGTTAGCGACGACGATTCTGTCTCGCTTTTTTGTTGTCGTGCGTCCTAAGTGTAACTTGTTACATTTGGATTCACAAAAATATGAACTTTGTCATCGCTTGTCTCGACCAAAACCAATACAAATGAATTTTTTGGTTATGGCTACGTCGTACCAATTCGTACATGGGTATTTACCAACAGTCTTACTGCGTGGTTTCCATTCAATAGTAAACTAGAATAGCTCACGGAAACATAAATACACACCAACACATGCATTGAATGCATGAACGTTCTCATTTCGCCTGGAATTAAACGGATTACAAAACACGCGAACGATAGAAGTTTTGGTCAATAAATTGTCGAATATTATTATTTCACGCTGTTAAACAGCAACTAAATAATTGTTGTGTGTGCTCAAAATAAATAACTATTAACTGTGCTAGGTATTTCTTTTCCTACAGTGAAGCAAACGTGACAAAACTTTGACATTTCAATATTGATAGTGACATTTCTCTCGAAGAAGAAAAGAAATATCAACATTTAAGGTGTCTGCTACATTGAAAAAAAAATCACAAGCAAAAACAAGAAGATCAAAATATTTACGTCAAATTCATTTGGATTCATGAGTATCAAATGAGTTCGGGATTTGTTACAGAGACCGAGCTCGCAGAAGCTCGCAAAAAACGACAAGAAGAATGGGAAAAAGTTCGACAACCAGATGAACCATTAGGTAAATAGAACTTAGGTTGGATAAGTGAATGTAACTCTTGTTTAATTTTGGTAAACAATTTTCAATGAATTTTCAAATTAATAAAATACAGAACGCCCTGAAGAGTCTTATGATCATCGCTCACTGTACGAAAGACTCAAGGAGCAAAAGGATAAGAAAGACTTGGAATATGAAGAAACACACAAACTCAGTAAGAATAGCATTGACAAACTGAAAATGCAAATGTATGACAAGAGAATGAATTTATTTTAGAAAATTTGATTCGGGGCTTGGATGACGATGAAATCAATTTTTTGGATATAGTTGATAAAGCGAAGCTAGAAGCTGAGAAACAACAGCAAATTCATGAGAAAAACGAACTGTCCGAATTCCGTCAGCGTGTTGCATCATTACAAGACCAATTCATCGAGCAGGTACATGGAAACACTTATTATGAATGGCGAAGATTTTTAACGATTTACGTTGAATTTTTACAGAAAATTTCGACAGCTGCAAAGTCAAAATCGATTAAAACACCCGCAAGGCCGTCACAAAAATCGATTTTAGCTGGTGCAGTCCGGAAACGTGTTGCTACTGATAACACCAATGACAAGTCTAAAGAAGGGAATGTGCCCGCAAAAGTTAGCAAAATGGAAAATTCCATCAGCTCAACGGCCGAGACAAATGGTAAATCTGATGAACATGGAAACACCTCAAGCAATAGCCTAGATCTTAGTGTTCATGATAAAGGTGCATTGAAATGCATCGGAATTTTACCGGGAATCGGAAAGTACAAGGATTCAAGTGATTCAGAAAAAAGCACAGATACGGACGACGACTACGATTTCAGCGACTTTGATTGGGTCGGACGAAAGATGAAGAGGAACGACAATGGTTGTGATGACTAGCTATCATTGGATTAGGATTTAGTCAAATGTTAAATAATTTCAACCATAAATAAATTGTCGTGTTCCGTAAACAGCTCCTGTATGCTCTCTGTATTAACAACAAACCTCTACTTTATTCAGCCAGTACTTGGCGGGGTGGCACATGTTTATTGAATGAAATGAAAATAAATAATTATTTCGAAATTCTAAAAAAATTGGTATGTATTTAAATCATTGGACATTAATTCTGAATCCGCTTGTGATGGACTCCCCATAGAAGGGGAGGGTGAAAATTGACTATGAATGGAAAAAATTGCAAAGTGGAATGAAAATTTGTTTTTTCGTCATCGGCAATATCTCCGATTTCCAATGATACTATTCCATATAAATTTCTTCATAACTATACACGCGCCATCTGTGTAATGGAAGGGAAATGAGCGAGCGATTTGCGTAATAGAATCAAACGGCTAGAAACGCCAATTTGAATAAATTTAATTTATTATTTTATTTCTATTTTTATATATTTATTTTAACTCAAGTAGATAAGCGAACAATTCCAATTAAGAATTCATCAAAATATCAACATTTTTCAGTAGTTTTGCGAAATCATAGTCCATAAAACAAATATAAAATAAATACCAAAACACCATCAAGTAGTGGCATCTGCGGTAAAAAAATGTTTGCTATATTTGGCGCCTTTAGTAAAAAAAATATCAGCTGTCAAACGTTAAATGCCGCTCTGAGTTTTTTTCTGCTTTAAAATCTATCAAGAACACATACAACGCATAGAAGTGAAGTGAACGTAAAACGCTAGGCGATTGATACAGGATAAAAATTTTCACGGAGCAAAAAATCGACGGCAATTTTACTGATTTTACCAGTATACATTTTACGATATTGATATATTTTTGTGTGTAATGAAATTCACAATTGAATCTATTGTATGAGCGGGAAATTTTTATCGATTGAGTTGTGTAGTTCAGTTGTTTAGCCTAATCTTTAAAAATCGCCATTTTGACTTTTTGGTGCTGGTTTTATTTTCAAGAAAACTTATCTTGATCGGTCTCCATAATATTCAATATTTTTATTTAGATAATTTTTCCAGTTCTCGTTGGAAAGTGCTTAAATTGCGCCGTTTTATTTACCATTTTACTCATCAAAAAAATTAAAAACTCAAACATATTTCGTTGGAGCTATTGGTGGCTCGCATAGATTAAAGAATTTTTGTTTAGTATGAATATAAGTGAAAAATTGTTGTGCATCATATCGTCTACGATGGAACGTTAAATCAGGATAATCTACAAATCTTCCGAAACAAAAACTTATAAAATAGTGCAAATTGTGAGGAAATTTTGCTTCTTGAAAAGGTCACAGAACCCATGCCTTTAAAACTGCGTCCGAATTATATATATATATAGACTTGCTTACATACATATGTGTAATTGAACGCTAAGACTTATGACATTAGTCTCGTAAAACCGGTTGAAAAAAGTGTTTATGTTTTCAGCAAATTTCTATAAAAAATACTAAAAAATAAACTCAAAACTTGAACAACGTTACATCCAATCACTTTTCACCGAAAACCAAAAACAATGGCTCAATCAAGCAATGCTGTCAATGTTGTGATCCACGATGCAAATGGTAAGGACAAGCACATTTTAATTGGAATTACTTTAGCTTGTAATATTTATTATGATGGACTTGGACTTCTTCCGAATGATGGAAAATTGACTCCCCCGTAAATTAAGTTGTTAACTATTTATATTTAAATGTATTTATTCAGTTCTGGAGGAATTTTGTTTAAAGAAATTTTGTATCATGTCAACTCAGCTAAATAATGAATTTCACTTACTACGCACAATGATCTAATCATAATACCAATCAATTCTGACACTCAATTACATTTACTGTTGTTTATCATTCTTTTTGGGTATTAGGTAAAATACATCGCAGTCGAGATTATGATTCCAAACTCACAAAATTTATTCAGGAAATTCTTTTTACCCGAGATGTGTCCTACTTCTTTTTGATTCGATTAATAGAGTCGGTTTATGTCAGATCTTCTGTTAAGTATCACGTAGAGGGTTTCTAGCAAACATGTGTTTTAAGATTGCTGAGCATCTCAGCATTTCGTAAGGC